AACCTTTATTTCCATTAGGGCATTTTGTATTGTTGAACTATCAGCAATAGAGCGAGCCGCTGCGAAACCTGCATTTTCTTCGTCATTTGCGACAAATGGTCGCTACAGAGGCAAAATTGAACTCTAAATCTGTCCTGTCCCTATATAATTCTGCTACATTTGTTGCATTGAAATTTTCGCGTCTGTTTTCCGCGAAAGGATTGTCAACATGTCCTGGATTTTTATTTTTTTCACAATTTACTTCAAATAATTACTGTGTATTTGTGATTGTGTTTTCAGAAAGAAAATTTATTCTTCACCCTATTGAAAAAAAACACGTATAATTGTACGTATAATAATACGTATAATTATACGTATAATTGTACGTATAATTATACGTATAATTGTACGTATAATTATACGTATAATAAGACATACGAATTTGAAACAAGAATTATACGTATAATAATACGTATAATTAATTATACGTATAATAATACGTATAATAATACGTATAATTATACGTATTATTATACGTATAATTATAATTCTATTAAAAATAGAATAATAGAATAGAATAGATTAATTAGTAGCAAAATTGCGCTGAAAATTTTTAGAAATTTTAAAATGCAAATTAAATTTCACGAAAAAAAATATCGTCGAATGTCAATTCAAGCAGTCACCCATCCAAGTACTAACCGCGTCCAACGTTGCTTAACTTCTGTGATCTGATGAGAACTTGTTCCTTCGCCTTGGTGTTTCCGCTGTCTTGTCTTGATTAATAACTTTGTCGTATAAGTATCACTAAAAGTGAGGTTAGGTGCGATACAATACTTATACGACAAAGTTATTAATCAAGACAAGACAGCGGAAACACCAAGGCGAAGGAACAAGTTCTCATCAGATCACAGAAGTTAAGCAACGTTGGACGCGGTTAGTACTTGGATGGGTGACTGCTTGAATTGACATTCGACGATATTTTTTTTCGTGAAATTTAATTTGCATTTTAAAATTTCTAAAAATTTTCAGCGCAATTTTGCTACTAATTAATCTATTCTATTCTATTATTCTATTTTTAATAGAATTATAATTATACGTATAATAATACGTATAATTATACGTATTATTATACGTATTATTATACGTATAATTAATTATACGTATTATTATACGTATAATTATACGTATAATTCTTGTTTCAAATTCGTATGTCTTATTATACGTATAATTATACGTATAATAATACGTATAATTATACGTATAATAATACGTATAATTATACGTATAATTATACGTACAATTATACGTATAATTATACGTACAATTATACGTATTATTATACGTATAATTATACGTGTTTTTTTTCAATAGGGCACTCTTTACTGAAGTCTAAACTTTTTCTTTTTTTAAAACATTTTTTCAAAAATATGAGCGATATATCCCACCGCTGCCACCATTTTGTTAAAGACGGAAGTTAAATTAACAAAAGAAAATTTAATAAAATAATAATACTTAAATTTCCAATTTAAATGTTATTATTAGCGATTCCGCTCATAGATAAAGGATAAATGCTCTTCGCTAAACAATGTTTAGACTAAAGTAGTGGACTACCTCTCAGTAAATTATTAATTCAATAAACCCGGATAGACGGTATTTAAGAGAAAATGTTAAAATGAAACATGAGACAAAAGTATTTCAAAGTGAAATAACTAAATGGAGTCAAATTAAACTAACACTCCGTTTATTACAATTTATTCTCAATATATTTGCTTTATATATGAAAAGAAAGGTTCTTTACAAAATTCAATAATCAATTTAATTAAGCTACTTGACTTACGTCAAGTCTCACAAATAACATCAAGAAAGATTCTATTTCCAGACTATACAGTTAAGAAAATTGTTTGTGTTTGCCTAAATGTATGTATAAATTTTTTTTAAAAGAAACTGTTTCAATAAAAGACAATTATTAAAGAGACTCACCAAAATAATAATTATAATCAGAGTAGAATAAAGTATCGTATTACTTAAATACTCGTGTTTGTCACTTGATGCTTGAATGCGGAAGTCTTCTCTTATATACTTTTATTTAATATGAATTTCTCAATGCTATCTATTTAACTTTTTATATTCTTAAAGCACTTGCACTTTTTTATATTAATAACAAAAATCAACCCTGACTCGGGGAATATTCAATACTTTCAACCACTTTTTGTGGGACTTCAATAATATATAATCATTCGCTTTTTGCGAAAATCAACACAACATCCGCTCTGCGGGAAATGATACTGAACACTTGAACTCCACTGGATGCCTTCGCTTTGCGGAGAGGAGTATTTAAACTTGTTGAGACAATAAAACTGGTGACAATGATCATAACCTATTTACGTAATGTGAGTGCCGATTTTGTAATCAACAACTTCTTGTTTCCATGCAACTTTGACTAAGTTGCACTTTAATCAGGTCGAGATCCATTCAATCACCTGTTCTACTTAATGATTTTCATTAATATTACTTAATCTTCACAATGGATTTAATAACTATTATATATTGAAGATCCACATTTAAAAATGATATAATGATAGTTTAAATCATGTTATTGTTTTGTAACTTCTTAGCGAATTAACAATACTTTTTACAAATAATTCATAAGAAAAGACTTTTGGCATAATTATTAAATGATTTCGAAACAATAATTAAACTATGCACAATGGGAATAATAGTGTGTGTTGTGTTTTATAATATAATAAATATTCGGATAAAAATTATAATTAAATTAAAGCAAAAAAATTATAAAGTGACGGAAATTCCGTCCCTAACACGCATAAACATCCCAGAGGGCAAAAAAACCATGTTCGTTCTAAAAATGTTTAAAAACATCCTTAAGGGTGTTTTTAGAACGTTTCATGTCCGCCAAATAATGTTCTGGAACATTTTAAGAACATGGATGTTCAAATTGTGTTCCAGAACATTATTTGGCAGACATGAAACGTTCTTAAAACATGGTTAAAACATGGTTTTTGCATACTGGGATTCGATGTATTAATTATTCCATGAGTATTTTAAAAAGGTAGAAAATGGGGAGTTGTGCTCCAGCGTTAGTGGGGAGTTGTGCCTCACATCATATTTAACAGTTTTTAATCCTAATACGCATTCTCTATTTTTATTTTGCATTATTTATGAATAATTAGAATGTTTTATGGAATTTAAATATTGTTCTTTAGTGAAATGAGATTTTTTACATCTGTATTCACTGTAAATGAAATTACTAGTTCAATTATTTTTAAGAAAGTCATAAAACCAGTATTTTCGAAAAACAAGCAAAATTTCTATTTCCGTTTTGAATTTTAATTAATCAATTATGCCAAAATTTGTGTTTTACGTGTACTAAAAGTTCTATATATAATAGAATCCTTTCTTAAAAAAGACATTGAGGCATGCGCTCGAAATAAGGAATCGAAATAAGGAATCGAAATAAGCAATCGAAATAAGCAATCGAAATAAGATATCGAAATAAGGAATTGAAATAAGGATAAACATTGAGAAAGTAAAATACATAAATAAAAAAGGCGACTTTCGTTTTTCGTTAACACTTAATTACACTTTATTAAAAACGTAAATATAAATATTACTATTTCACTAATAATGAGAATTATTAAAATCTGACTGAAAGAAGTTTCTGTGATTCTAATGACGTAAAGAAACATAACCTACTAAATTGAAATCACTCGATTGGCTGCAAAAAATTGCGCGCGTTTATTTTGAAATGTGTAATTCAACTTAATATATTTTCCTACAAGAAAAAAGACATTGAATATATAAAAAAAAATTTATTTATTTAAGTAGTAAAATTTCAATTTTTTAATGATGTTAATAATTTCAAATAATATTCCTATTTAATCAAAATTAAAAACATGATATATAAATAAAATTAAACATGAAACAGTTAATATATTTTAATGTTTTAAAAATAAAATAATCATATTATTTTGATAGAAAAATATTTTTTAGTTTTTTTTATTTAAATTGTTAAATTAAAAAAAACTATTAAAATTCGATTAGATAAATTTAAAATACAAATTTCTTAAAAAATTTATATAATATATTAAATTTATTCATATTGTTTTTAAAGAAATTTTTTTTTGAATTTATGATTTACAGAATGTAATTTTTTAAATTAACCATTTCTGTGACTACTTTGTGAGACTGAAAAATTTCTTTTCTCTATATTTACATTATACTTTACAATTTATCAGAAATTTAAATTATTTATCCAAAAAGTTTATAAAATAGAACCCTTAAATAAAATCCATTAATAAAGTATTTAATCAACAGACTATAAACAATTATAAGTATATTAGTACGGAGTAGCATAAAGATGAGTATAATTTAAAATAAATAAAAAAAGCAGAAAATCATTAGTGCAAGAGAGATTATAGCGTAAATCAATCTCTCTTATTTCACATTCATAATTTTTTTTACATTTTGAATCGATATTGAAATAAAAAACACAAGATGAAATTAAATCATTTTTTAAAATGGAATGAATAAAATGGAAATTGAAAAAGGAACAGAAGCAACGAAGACGGCCGCTTGCGGCCGTCGGCGGCGCTAGTAGTGAAAAAAAGTTATGTAATAGTTTTGATCGAAAAACAAAACCTGGAGCACAACTCCCTTGTCTCCCCTATATTTAAACTTTTTGATATAGTTGAATACTGTTTGACGTTGCAATCATGTACATGTTTTAATTCAACATTATAGTTAATAAAGATTTAACATAATAAATGTTAAAGAGATAAAATGTGATCGATATCTTCTTCGTTATTATTTAAAATATTCTTGACAGGTTATACTATCAAATAAAAAAGAAAAAAAAGTTGAATTTTTTTTTGTTTGACCCATGTACCCCCTTAAAACGTTAATTTGTTTGTCGGATTTTAAGTCATTTAGGAAGAAAAAAATAATAAAATTTATATTTTTAATAACATACAGGTAGACTTCTGGATGAAGGTAAATTCGAAGCCTGCACCTAGAATTTTATGTGTATTTACATACTTTGTACAGTAACATCGAAATAATGTAGATACACGGAGAGAAAATATTGAGCTAATAAATAGGGTTAAATTGTTTTCTTAAATACAAATTTCTATTTACAAATTATTTATTGCCAAAGAACATTGAAAATAAGTTACCATTTTATATTAAGGGCTGTATTTACTTTTTCTATTTCATGATATTGAGTGTGAAAAAATGCACTTGCTTTATCTGAATATTCACCTTCTAGCCAAATTTTATACAAATCTAATATAACCGGGTTTTTTTCGGGAATACTTCGCGGTAGTTTTTGGTAGGCTTCTTCAATTTTTGTAATTAATTGTCGAGGTTGTGAACTGTTCTGCGCTCTTATTTGCGCTCCACCATTAAGACATCCTAGAAAGAAAGTGTGTACTTATTATTAATGTTATAGTATATAAAACTATTAAAAAACGTTATTTACTCACCAGAAGGACATGCCATTACTTCAACGTAATGATAATTAGATTTTCCCTTTTTTAGCTTTTGCACCAAGTTTTGTATATTTCTAAACCCATTGGCAATAGCAAATTTCAGCAGAATTTTTCCGTCTTTCTCTAAAACACCTTCTTGAAAGTCAGGATTTCTTAATGCTTTTAATTTCAATTCGGCATCATGTACTTGAAATAAATGCTTGGCTGCATAACGGAAAATAAAGTCTGCATAACCACCTGAACTGGAACCTTCATGAGACAACAGATTGTAATCCTTATGTTCACTTATTTCGAATGGTTTCTGAATTTCACCAAGTTTCACAGATTGTAAAGAAATTCCCTCTTGTTGCAACATTTGTTCAATTTCGACTATAAAATAGAGAAAGAATAAAATCTTAAATTATTTCATTTAAAATAGGTCACGAAAGTTATTGTTCAATATTAACCCTTCAACACCAGAAAGGACAGACTCTCTGTTCTTACGTATGGAAAAAATTTTACAATAGGGCAAAAAGTGCTCGACAATGAGACATCCTTTTTTCAATGACACAGTAATATGTTAATATTAAAAAATTTTGAGCACTTTTTGGTATTAACAGAAATTTTGAACTGTTTTCTAGATAATAACTTCAGGTACTTTTGAACACATCTTTGGGTTTTGGTAATATTTTCTACACTGAAAGAAAATTCATACTACTAATTATTAAACTCATATTAGAGTTTAATATAAATGTTACAATTTAGGGAAAAAGTGCACCTATATTGATTACTATTACAGTTTTTATGAAAATATATAATGAATTTAAGAGTAACTATTATTTTAAGAAATAAGAATTAGTATATTTATTTTAAAAATTAGTATTTTCTTTATGAATTCACAGAATACTAAATATTATAATAAATAATTTCACAAAATAGTAAGAAAAATAACATATATCCGTATACTTATTTCACATTTTGTAAAACTTTATATTAAAAGTCACGGATTTTCCCGAGAGACTACGAATTTAACCGAAGTTCTGTCTGTTTGCGGCTTCGTGTCCTACTCGAACTTCTACGACTTGATCCGATTTTCGAAAGTGTTGTTAACCAGCAGAACGTACCTAATTTATTTTCAATTTATAAAAAATGTTTTATTAAAGTTATTTAATAATAATAAATTTATTATTAATTATTAAATTTATTATTATTTTTATTAATTTTTATTTTTTGATGTCATCTTTACAATTATTTAATTTTTATTTGCAATAAAAATTTTTATAACAATCATAATTTTTAATCTGAAAAAAAAGGAAAATCTATATAAACAATTAATAATAAAAATGAACCCAGCGTAACCTCTATAAAATTACACCATTGGCACTAGTAAACTATTTTTTATTATTAAGTTATTATAAGTAAACTTCTTTCTCGCAAGTGGTAAAAATATTCAGTAGTTAGTATATAAGAAAACGATATATGCCGACCCCCAGCGAAATTTATCGTTATGCGTATAGAATTGTAAGTGTAGGTTTCGTTGCGATCGTGTAATGTCTATGTATAAGCGAAATGAACGTGCGTGTTCATTAGTATGTGTATTAACCTGTATCGTAAGTGTGAATGTGTTGTTCCTAGTCTCACTCCTCTTCCTCCCGAGAATTAACGGAAACGTCCGACAGTTTCCGCTTTTTTTCCCTTTTCTTCCGACATTCTCAATTTTTCGTATAAAGTTTTACAAATATTAGAACGCTACATTCCATATAATGCAACAACTCTATGAGAATTTAATATAATATTTTCAAATATTGGTAATCTTTTTACGTTCTTTCTACAATAATTATTAATATTTCAAAAAAGATTTTAAGTTGGAACTTTAATATAAAGTATATTGAATTTTAATAAAAAGTACACTTTTCCCTAAATTCTAAAAGAATATATTAAAATGTAATACGCATTTTGTTATTTTTTCCTATGAAATTTCTTTCAGTGTATTTGATTTCACTGTTGCGTTGAGGCACACAATTGGAATAACAATTATAAGAATCATAATTTCTTGTCAACTGTTACCGTAAATATATACAGAGTGTTCAAAAAGTATGGAAACTTGCAAATATCTCGAAAAGTACGCATTTTCGTAAAAAATGTTCAACACAAAAGTTGTTCCCAACAAAAAGATCCAAATTTTTCAACTCCAAACATTGGGCTCGGGACTCGACAGTAAAAAACGAAGTATCACGAAAATGCGTACTTTTCGAGATATTTGCAATTTTCCATACTTTTTGAACACCCTGTATATTTTAATTATATAATTAAATAATTTAACGCAAACGAAAATGGATTCAGGGAAATTAAAAAAATTTAAGTTTTTTGGTAAATAGAGAAATTCACTTAAGCTCTTTACATATTCAATTTGCACCAATTTGTGCAAACGAATTCAAACGAAAAGACTAACTCGTTTTTATTGAGCATTAATTATTTATCTTTACTTAAAAATCAAACGCAAAACAAAATTTTTTTCCAGATATAAATTTATTATTTTTGTTAAATAAACTGTAATAAAAAAAGTCTGCCCGCTACCATCATCAGCGCTTCGCGCGGGGGGCTCGCAGCTTTGATGCTGATTTTACACTCATCTAAAACTGCGCGAGCAGCCCGCATTTGCATTACGTTTTTTATATATATATGAGGCATTTTACGTGTAATGTCCTAAGTTGAAAAATTAATTTCTCGAAAAAAAGTGAAACTTGGGGAAATTGTTGTCCTACCTGATAGTAAAATATACCTAAAAAAATTTTTGACTTTTTTGAAATTTTTTAAGAGATAGAGGGGGGTCAATTCTATCAGTTTTCCCTGACACAGCCTACTAATTAAATTTTTGTTGTCTATAAATGCAATAAAAAAATTTTAGCAGGTATATTTTTTGAAGGTTTTTTCATGCTCTTTCCAATGGTGAATTTTGACCCTGATGTTCTATAATTAAACATAAATTTGCTATTTTCACTAAAATCGGTCCGTTTTCTTTAATTAAATAATTGCAAACAAAAGCTGAGGTTTTTTCCGATCTGTATATAAATTTTCAGAATGCCGATTTTTTTGTTTTCGAGATATTAAATATCAAAGATTTTATGTCTGCGCGCGCAGCGAAGCGGTCGACTCATACCGCACCGCGGTAACTGTTTGAAACATTTGAGCGAACGAATACATTCATTGACGGTATTACGTTGAAAATTATTGCAATCTCTAAAAATTATAAATATATATGATGTAAAAAGCATTCTTTTTATTTTTAAGGGGTTAGTACCACATCTTCATTATTTTTTTGTTCTTTTTAATTACATAATTTTTTTTATTTCCTTAAAACTTGATATACATAAAAGAAAGGGTTATATACTATTAAAAAAAATTGTCTGCCATTTTGGATCCGCAATTCTAAATTTCGAAAAACTAATGTCGAATTCGTGATCAGCGACCCCAAAAACCCTTGTATAGTATGTTTCATGAAAATTCGTTGAACTGGATTTGCTGGGCATTTTTGATAATTTATGCTGTATTTTTCTCAAAAAGTGAAGAGGTTAAACAATAATAAATAAAAAAATTTTATAAAAAAATTCTTTTAATGTCATTCTTTGAACCTTTGAGAAGAAAAATTGAAACATCAAATTGAAACGTTTTTAAAGTATAAATATATTTTCGTTAACTTAAAAATTTAACAAATAAAGTCCTCGAAACCAAATTTTGTTTACTTTATTCCTGTGTCTTAAAAAAATTCATGAAAAACAGATTAAAAATAGACCTCAAAGGTGTCACTCCCACAAGGTATAAGGAATAAGAAATACGACAGAGTTACATAACTTTACAATAGAAGTGCAAAAAATTTTAAAATAACATATATTTATTAATTTTAAAGTCATAAATTTATATTAACGAATTACCAATATATTTTTCTCTAAAGTAGAGCATACCCTTACAAAATTAAGTCACTTTAGTAAACATATGTCTTTATTGGATAATATAAAATAATTTTGTTTATATTACATACTTGTTGTAATGACGCAGTCCACATCTCTGGTTTCTTTCAGCTTATTATAAAAGTCTTGCCTGGAAGCCTCTAGCTTTTTGTCATAACAAGGCATTACTGTTATATGATAAATATTTTCTGGAGGAAGATTTTTTAATTGTCCATAATGATATTTCACTAGTGATCCCATAATTTGTTGTGGAGATTTGGTCACACTGATGTACGGTAATATAAAATTTCCATGAGTTTTTTCAGCATAGCAAACCCAACCTGAAAATAAAAAATAAAATTGTCAAATTTTTATAACTTTTTTAGTAATTTCTTTGAAGTATTATTAAAATTATGTAAATTGTGTCAAATAGAATATGTTTTAAGGGATTAAGCCACTGTAGACAGCAAAAATTCAACGTTTCTTTGCGAATTTTTTTTCATTTTGGGGATGTTTTTAGGCATGTTTTAAAGTATTTAAAAATATATTTTTTATTGAAAGTAGTTATAACCTTTCGTCTTGAGAGTCGTTCTTATGAGATAGATTTTTTTTTACTTCCACTGTAAGCACTACTCAATATTAAAAAATGGATCTGTGACAAAATAATTTTTTTTTATTAATTTACATTACTATAGCTACAGAAATACATAGCCGATTTTAAAAATATTTATTTTTGTTAAATTGGTGAGCTTTCAAAGTTAAAATTCAAATTTTTGACTAAAAAATCGAAATTTTAACTTATTGAAAATTGACAACGTATTTCTGTGAGGAATGTTGTTAGAAGCTAAATAGTAAGGAATTATGCTGAATCTGACGAGCATATAGCAAGTTAGTGCAGTACGGAGAGAAATAGATGGTAAGAACATATGATCTTAAGATGGTTAAAAGTAGATGTTATCCGGTACCATCATTATGCTACTCGGTACTATCAAAGATGTTACAAAAAATATGGTTATGTTACCCACTATAATCAAGATGTTACTCCGTACAATCTGGATAGTAACTGACAGAATCTAGATATGTCCGTATATGTAAGATCAAATATGGTACCTGGTACTATCTAGATTGTACCCCGTACCATCTATTTCTCTCCGTGAGGTGACATATATTTAACAAAGCCTAACACGGCCTGGTAAAGAACGAGAAATTTAAATAAAAAAAATTCGAATCGATATACAAAATTTTTCCTCATATTCTACAAGTAACAAAGCATTTTTTAAGCCATTAAAAAAATTTCAGTTTTTTGAAAATTCTATAGTGGTCTTACCCCTTAAAGTACTTGTAACGAGTATAAAAAACCAAAAATATTAATAAATGTGGAAACTGTGCCTTGCGGTGAGAAAGATTTCTCCAAAACACCTGTTACTAGGCGTATCTTTCAAAAAAGGAAATAACATACACTACCGTCGGGAATTGTGCGACCGCTGCTTTTTTAATGACTATAAGACGGCTTAAATCTTAAAAAATAGTAATTCTAAAATTCTTTCTTTTTTATTTTCTAAAAACTAATAAAATTCGAAAAGAAATAGCACCTTAACAAAGAGAATATGTTAATTTTTCAATAAGATATTTAAGAAAATTTTTCAGTGTTGTTGGGTCAAAAAATGTCGAAAAATTATTATAATTAATATTTAAATGACAAAAATGATCAGTAAAATGTGTAAATCTTAAATTTACTTAAACTAATCAGAGAAGTTTAAGATTATCTATTTACTTGAGTTGAAACATTATATTTTGTTGTAGAATTGAATTTTAATTTTTCAACATTTTTTGACCCAACTTTCACGGTTTTCATACGCTAAGGAAGAACGTACACATGAATTATTTTTAATAATTTGAATTGTCTAACAAAATACCATTCCAATAAGCCCAAGAACGTTAAAAATATTAATTTTTGTCAGAGAAATAAAAAAACACAATTCCCAACAATAGTGTATAAACGACCAGTGATAGATTAAAAATATTACCTGGACATGAGGACGATAACATTGGCAATTGATGTTGATCTCCTTCTTGAAAGGATTTATACCTATCAATAAATTCTTTAGCTGATTCTATAAGAGCAAAGTCGTCAGCAACCGTCATGTCCAAAATAGCATCTGCTCCAAGTTGTGTGAAATAACCAGCTAACTTAAGGACCGCCTCTTTTGGTTCCAGCTTATATCGTTCGGCTAATGAAAGAATTGGTTGAATTGATAAGCTTACAACAATATGTTTGGATATATTTCCGTCTCCCAACTGTAATAAATATTCAGTAGTATAATATCCTTAGATATGAATATAGTTGAGTTCTTGAAGGAGTCAGATTTTAAAACGATTTTTTATAAAATAGAATCGGACCATATCACAGTAGTCTGTAAGGCTTATTGAAATAGGCAGCTTTTTGCTGCTACTTTTATACGTAGATAAAGTTATACTTATTTAGATTATAGATTTATTTAGCAGCCGAAATAAAAGTTGTCAAAATCACAATTTTCAAAAAAGATGGGGTGTGGTGGCTAGTTTATGTTTTTCAGTAATAAAACTACAAAAATGCATACAATAAGGGAGACTAGGGACCTATGAAACACTTGTCATTTTTAAAAATGTACAATTCGATATCGATAAAGTAGAAACATAATGTAAAGTAGTTTCGATATGATTATGTTTGCCGTAATCACGTTTTACGTGATCGATTTTAGAGCTATTATTATGAGCATAAGGAGCGATTGAAGTGTAACGTTCCAGAATTTTGTAACGATAGAGTATCGTAGTATAGTCGCCCGGCGAAGAGAGAGAAAGTAGACAAAATCACGCAATGTCAGAAATGTGCTATACTAATAGTGAAGTTGAGTTCCCAACCACAAGGAGGGCACATGTGCATACATAAGTGTAAAGGTAAAGGACAGAATATCCAAATGTCAAAAACTTATTTCTCCGAATACTTATGTAACCGAAAATCCACTGATCAGAATACTTAATTCCCAAAAACTCCACTAGTCAGAATGTTTAAATTCCCGAATCTAAATTTGTTAGAATATTTAACTTTCAAACATTCCATTTTCAGAATATTTAACTTTATGAATCTTTATTTGTCAGAATAATTAACTTCCCAAATTTTCATTTGCCATAATACCTAACTTTCCGAATTTACATTTGTCAGAATATTGAAATTTACAAATTTCTATCTATCCGAATATTTAACTTCCTGACTCGCCATTTGTCATAATATTTAACTTCCCAATTTGCGATTGCCAGAAAATTTGAACTTGACGAAATTCCAGTTGTCAAAATATTTAACTTTCCAAATTTGCAGTTGTCAGAATATTTAACCCCAGAAGGAGTAACTGAATTTTCTCACCCTCTAAAGAGTAGCTGGGGTCTCTAACGCCCCCAAATTGAAACTTGTGTAAAAAGGTTTCTATTTGACATAAAACTAATTATATATAGTGATTTTTATTAGTTTTTTAGTAAGGAAAACAATAGTTTTACTGATTTTTCGAGAAAATAAAAAAAAGTAGAAAAAACTTGCCCAAATTGCGGTCCGTAGCCGACTTTTATTAGAAGTATTCGCATTTGCCTGACCCTTTCTTGATCAGAGTAGAGGGAAACTACGGAAAACCTCTACTGAATACAGTCGGTTTATTGACAGTCGAGTCATGAATGTACATTTAATTAGTCATCCAAATGCACAAACATATCCTCGACGTCAAACCTCCCGCTTAGTATATCTCGATTGTAGCTGTGCTTAACCTCGGCGACCGCAAGCCAAGGCGCTTCACCGCCCGAGCTATACTATCGGTTCATTTTTCCTTATTAATTGCTGATTAGTTTTTTTCGGATCTGTATTTGGATTGTTTCGGACTGATTCATAGTCAGTCCAGATTAATGCGGTCCGATTTTGGATTTGTCGTTTTTTTCAGTCTGATTTAAAACTAATGCGGATCACTTGCGTAATTATTTCATAAAGTTTTCCCACTTACCCAGTCTAATCTCTCCGAATTTGATACGAAATCAATTCGACTTTTTTTTACCAGGGTTTATACTGCTGCAATGAAATTTCGTTAGTAATATCATTATCTACAATATTTAAATCATTTAATTGTGACATTTCCTTAAAATTTGGAATATCAGATCCTTCATGACGAAGAAAATTACATATTTCAATATATGCTCTTTCATCAGCTTCAGGAGATGCCTAATTTTGTTAAAAATCTTGCAACTACGTATCTTTGAACTTCTCCCATAGTTCATTTGGGTTAACTAGATGACAGTATATTAAAATGCTTACAAATGAATATCTTAATTGACGGAGCACCATCCATACTTCTCCTTCAGTTGAAGCTAGATCTCATTCTCCATCATCTTCGATAAGACCTAACGCCAAACATGCATTTCGAAAAGCTACATGTACCCTGTTATCAACTGTACGAAATGTTCAAAACTTGTAGCACCCTTAACTACTATTAACAGTAAACGGAGATGAAACAGTTCAACTTTACTCGGACTAAAGGACCCTGCTTCCAATGACATTAAAAAATCTTTTACGTCTTAACCATCCCGGACAGCACCGAAACTTCCTTGAACCTTGACTGAACCTCGCTTGACGAGGTTCGGGAACTTGAGTCGCGAGGTCCAAACGAGGATGAGTTAATATTTAAATGTCCGCGCATAATAAAGGTCAGTCACAGAGGTTGGCTGAATATTGGATTTAAATTTCTGTTAAATATTAAAATTAAAGATTCTTGGCATATTGTGAAGGGATATTAAAGGAAATTATAAATTCAAGATTTGTTAAATGTAATCGTTAAATATTCTGGAAATTTAGAAGGAGCATAAATACGGAAAAATAAAAAGAAAGCAAATGAATTTAATAAACTATTGAAAATTGCATTTTCTATGACATGGGAAAGCGTAAATAAATCAGAAATTAATAGACAATCATAAATACAGTTATATTTATTAGTAGTTACTTAAAAATTAAAGGTTTTTTTGAGAGTCTGCAGGCACATTTCATGTGCTAGTAAAAAATTAAAATTAAATGCAAATTTTATTAAAACGAGTTATCAGAATTTTTTTGGCAGAAATCCTAGTAAATATTCTCAACAATAATTTTATTGAGCCAAAAAAAATTCATTAATCGTAATAAGTAGATCTGGTTTCCTAAATTTTCTCAAAATAGCCATTGCACCATGATAATTTTGTAACATATTTCTCGAAGAACCTGTGAGCGGACGGGAAGAAGAATCTGTCAATATTGTGAATTTTGGGGTTCTTTAAGTCTTTTAGACAACTGTGTATATGGGAAAGCAGTATATAAAGACAAGAAGATTCAGATGAATGAATTCTATAAAGATCGTAAAAAAATTCTACAAAATAGTGTATTTGTCGGTCGAGTTAGGTGGTATGAATACTTAAAAATTATTGAAATAACACAATTTAAATATGACTTCGATTTTGAAACAAACTCAATTTCTTTACAGTTTCACGGAGAGAAATAAATGGTGAGATAAAAAAAAGTAAAAGTAGACTTTATCCGGTATCATCATTATGCTACTCAGTACTATCAAAGATGTTAAAAAAGTATAGTTATGTTTCCCACTACAATCACGATGTTGCTCCGTACAATCTAGATAGTAATTGATAGAATCTAGATTGCTGTCCGCAGGGTTGCACAGTGACGCGTCACTCGAGGTTTTTGACGTATATTACGTAAAAAATGTAATATACGTAAAAAACCTGTAATAAATGTAAAAAAATATGGCGGCGGTCTGGCGATCAATAAAAAATATGTAAACAAATATTAGTATCACAGAAAAGCAACAAATTAATTATTTTAAAACTTTTAAAAAATAAGTATATGGATATGAATCCACAAAATCGAAAACGCCAAGCAATTCCTTAGCAAAGTTTAAAATTTTCACGCTTGAAAACTGATGAAAAAGGAGTAACCAATGCGAAATGTTTATTATGCGACAAAATAGTGCAAAACACTGGTTATGATCGTCTTTTAGGCCATAGGTATGTAAACTTTATTATTAACAATCATTTTTAGATTATATGTTTCATCAAAAAAAATTTAGTTGCTGACAATCAACAACTTGAATATGATTAAATCCATGCAAAAATTACATAACCTATAATTTAAATAAAGTATACTTATTTCATATATTATTTTACTATATTTAAAATATATGAAATTCTTTTGATTAACAAAACTATTGTTATTGATCATATTTATTTTAATTATTATATTAAATGTTTAAATACAATTGTGCCACTCAATTTTATTTTCAGGATCACGGAGTTTAAGCGGCCATTTTGAAAAAGTAAATTACGTAAAAAACTAAGCACGTAAATTACATACGTAATATACATGTAAAAAACCATGTAATTTACGTCAAGTATATTACGTACGCAACCCTGGCTGTCCGTATATGTAAGATCAAATATGGTACCTGGTACTATCTAGATAGTACGCCGTACCACCTATTTCTCTCCGTGTTCGATATTGAAATTTGACAATTATGTACTTTTTCAAAAATTGCATATATTTTTTCAAAGCAACCTAATTAGAACTGAAAAAACTACCTGTTGTTGATTCTTCTTTTCTTCAAAGACGCGTAATATTTCTTCCTGACTCTGTTGTGTTATAAGTACACTTTCAGCAGATGTAATACAGCCGCTGCAAGCTAAACAATCAGCAAGTGTAATGCCCACCTTTTCCAGCTGCTTACTGTCTCCTTTCTAATAATAAACAAAGTATTGTTATGAAAAAGATTTCATAAACTTGGCAATGTTTTCTCAAATATTGTTAACCTCATCTATCTCTACGTAACCATCTTCTTGAATTTCAATTTTTGACCCTGTTTTTACATTAGCCTTTTTAATTTCCACTGGTTTTATGCATTCCTGTAAAAAAAGTTCATTTAATTAAGATCCTACGACTTTGTCAATACTAATTCACAAATAAAATAAATAAAGAAAATTATTCAAAAAGGCACAAACAGAAACTGTGAGGGAAAGTAGAAAAAATTATTTATATGCAATTTTCAGATTGATATAGAGACCTAATAGAAAATCTTCAAATACACTTTAAAATACAATATCTATAATAATTAACAATAAACTATTATAAAATAAAGGGTAAAAAGCCATCCCTAAATGTTTAAAATTGGTAAATCCATAAAAACCTCAAGTACACAATGGTTTACGACTAAAAAAAATTTTCCTATTCTCTTCAAAATAATATCCAAGTATTCTGATCCATCGGCCTCACCCCCAAAAGCCACCCCTAACTTGTACTGATTTTTAAATGTGATAAAACAAATAGTTCACGGTGATTTAAAGACACAAAAATCAGTCTAACCCTCACTAAATATAGTTATTTCTATAAGAAAAATAATTTTTTTATACAAAATATTTTGATTGTGCTTTAAAATCTCGCGCCACTGCCTTGCGCACTATGTTCGCGCAGGTCATTCGAGTTTTTTACGGTTCAATTTAAAAATACATTCTTTCCAGAATCAAAATAAAAGCACGTTGCTTTCTGTATTGGATTGGTCTCGGTTTAATTTTGCGTTATATGATTGTTATATTAAAAAATGTCGAAAATAGGTGATTTATATCACCAGCTGCTTTTAAGTTACAAAAGTACTTACTCAATTTTAAGCTCAGTTCTATGTGTGCGGAAGAAAGTGATGTGATAATATAATTTTAAAAAATGTATTTTATGCGTACATTATCGAACAAATTGAAAAATTTTAAACTGATTATAAGAAACATAAGTCAAAATTTCTAAATTCTTTTATCAAGTTAAGTTTTTCTTGAAAATCATGACATTAATAAAAAATTGCTGTTCTTTATTTAGTCTTAGTAAAAATAATTTTCAAATATTTACTATTTTCACATTATTAATTGTATGCTTTGTGGGAATATAAAATCTTTCAGCATGGCTCATTCAACCATGGACCATTGGTGAAGAGACAAATTTATCAGATGATGGTCCGGGAGCTAGCGACCAAATAGACCTTCTCATTTCATACCGACTGAAAATTGGACTATAGTTTACTCAAAACATTTAAATAACAGAAACGCACGTCTCACGGTACCCAGGAGCAGAGGAATCCCAGAAAATCCGGAAAACTGTAAATATTCTAAAAACAATCTCACCGTATGCTTGCAACCACGCTATGCCTCGCCGGCAGACAAGAAGAACAGGAAAAGGTTCTATGTACTTGTGGAGCGAGAAACTAGCCTGCCTGAGAAGAAAAAGCCACGCAGCTAGGAGAAAATACACCCATTCAAAGGGAGACTCCGAGCTGCGAGAAAAATGGCATAAAGCCAGGCTGATTTTCAAAAGGGCAGTACGTACTAGCCAACGCCGTTGCTGGCAGGACCTAATCGGAGAATCAGAAAGGGACCCATGGGGATTGGCCTTTAAGATTGTCACCAAGAAATTGGTGCCAAGGCAGAAAATCCCCGGTCTGGACGATCCGATTTGGGTCCTGGAAATTATAAAGACGCTTTTCCCCTACGCGGAACTAATCCAAAGGGAGGACTTTACTGAATGTGTAGTACGCAAAGAGGAACTCTTCACGCTTGAAGAGTTGAAAAAAGTAGCAAAGACGTTGAGAAATGGCAAGGCGCCAGGCAATGACGGAATACCCAGCGAAATCTTGAAAGAGGTTGTCGCTGTTTATTCAGAGCTTCTTCTCAACGCCTTTAATGCATGTCTAAAGGCGGGAGAGTTCTTTGGCGACTGGAAGACACAGAAGTTGGTCCTCCTTAGGAAAGGAGAGAAACCCCTAGACAAGGCCTCATCGTTCAGACCAATATGTTTATTGGATACGATGGGGAAATTTCTAGAGGGTCTGGTTCTGCAGAGACTTCAGGAAGTCCTGATAGGCGAAAATAGCCTATCTGAGAATCAATTTGGCTTTCGGAAAGGCCGGTCAACAGTTGATGCAATAATCACTGTTGTCAATAGGGCGAAGAAAGCCAAAGATGGCAAAAGGAAAGGATTTTGTGCGCTCGTTGCTATAGACATACGAAATGCGTTCAATACCGCGAAGTGGGACGTCTCTTTAGACGCACTGAAACGTAAAGGGGTACCACCCTATCTGTTGCGAATGATAGACAACTATCTTAGCGACAGATGGGTTGAATACAGGAGCGATGCATGCCATCTTAAACATAAGATGACATGTGGAGCTCCCCAAGGATCAAAGGTAGGTCCATTCATATGGAACGTCATGTACGACGAACTCCTGGGAATCGACCTACCTGAAGATACGTTCATAGTTGGCTTTGCGGACGACGTCATTGTCGTGTGTCTTGCGTGGAGCGAGGAAATCCTTGAGGTAAGGGTCAATGAAAGTCTGAGACGAGTAAAGCGCTGGCTAGATCTCAACGGTCTTCAGATGGCCGTAGTGAAGATAGAGGCCTTGCTCGTCACAGACCGGAGAGCCTTTAAAGCCCCAAAGATTCAGATTGGGACAACCGAAGTCTCTTGGGGAACAAAGCTTAAGTACCTGGGGGTGACGTTGGATCGAAGGTTAAACTTCGCCCAACACTGTCACACCAAGTCACTTGAGTCCGTCGAATGCATCGGAAACTTTTCAAGGATGATGCCAAATGTCGGCGGCCCCAGGGAAAAGAAACGGCGACTGGTGGCGACCGTGGGTCAAGCAAAGCAGCTGTATGCTGCCCCTGCATGGGCTGATAAAGCCCTAAAGAGCCACGGCATCTCTAAGGACCTACTCTCCGTAGAAGGAACTTCGGCACGGAGAGTGGTCTCTGCCTACAGGACAGTTTCAACGAGTGCCGCCCTAGTTCTTGCGAGCATGCCGCCAATAGATCTATTGGCGGTGGAAAGACAGAAAGTCTATATGCTTAACAAAGAGCTAGCAAACTCGCAAGAACAGGAAGTTAGGAATAGTCTAAAGATGGCTATTCGAAGAAAGGCAAGAAAAAGACTCGTTGAAAAATGGCAAGAGGGATGGGATGAGGAATTGAAAGGAAGGTGGACGTACCGCCTGATTCCTCACCTCACCACCTGGCTTGACAGAGAGCACGTCGAAGTTGGTTACTACCTGACACAAGTGTTGTCAGGTCATGGTTGCTTCAACCAGTACCTCCACCGGTTTAAAATAAGAAGAGCACCGAAATGCGTGTATTGCGATAAATCCCTCGTGGATGACGCTGAACACACGCTAATTTCCTGCGAGCATTGGAGCATTCATAGAGAAACTATGTTTGCGGCGGTTGAGACTCGATTCAACGCCGATAGCATGGTCTCTGTCATGCTCCAAAGTGTGGACTCCTGGAGGCATGTTGAGACCTTCGTTCTGAAGGTCATGTCTACCAAAGACAAAGACGGCAGAAGATGAGGTTGACCGGAAGATATCTTGGCTCGGCTGGGGGTGTGCGGGGGTGCGAGGAGACATTTGATCTCCTCTCCTTTCCCGCCCCCCAGCCTATGAAATGGTGAAGGCAAGGGAACCGTTTTACTTGCGAAGTGTAAAGCCAGACGGCAGTTCCGCAAGTAAGAGTAAACGGTTCCAATAGGGGTGTGGTTTTAGCCGGTCGGCTTACATAGGAGTAAGTCAACCCCGCACACTTCGGAGAAAAGAGTGCGCCTCCGGAACGGTCTGATCCTTGGAGTTGCAATTCCCTCCTTGGTGTAGCAGATTTCCATGTTTGCCCTTGCGCAAAAAAAAATAAATAAATAAAAGCGATTAATTTTTAGGTACAATCTATTATTATTTAATTATTTATTAGATGCAATATTTTCAGTAAAAAATGCTTTTGATGTTAAATAATTAAAAATAAATCTTTAATAAAGCAAAAACTACCATGAACATAACCTAAAATTTTCATGATTTTTTATTTTTGAATGCTTATAACTTCTTTAAAAGTGCATCAATTTAAAATTTTTTTCAAACTGTGTGTTTTTAAACGTATTTTTGAAAAAAAATCGAAATTTTTTTTTAAACGATATTACTATCAAATTTTTGAGTTTTAATGATGAAAACTCATTTTTCTCATTTGGCGTACTGATCGATTTTTTCAAATTATTTTGCCTGATAATAGGCAAACGATTTTTACAATATTTTTAGAATTTTTTAAAAATATTTTTGTTTTTTTTAATTCTACGTACGTGTATTTTGATGCGCTGATTACGAAAATCATAGTGACAACACCCGAAAATTTGATTTTTATGGTAAAAACCATAAAAAAGTTCAATGAATGAAAAAATTCATGAAAGCTAGTCTCAATTAGTACTAAAAGAAAAAAAATCGGAGATGCAATTGCAGACTATGGACTTTCACTTTTACCGCGAAATACTAATCAGTATAGAGAACTGGTGCTAAATATCGACGCACAATGCCAAATATAATAAAAAAATTTAATAATACGACTTTGTTATAAAATGATATATTTTTTGCATAATTAAAATGCAAAAAAATATAATATTTATTGATAAATTTAAGAAAATTTTAGTAGTAATTTTATATGTGCCATTCGCCTATGATAACAGTAGATCCAAATTGACGTTAAACGTTCCTTTGTTTTCTAAATTCTAAAAAATAATTCTACACAGTACTCAGAGCTGTGAGAAAAGCAGTCACGACTTCGAGCAAAGAATTTATTGCTACATTTATAGTTCTAAACAATCTGTTGTCAACTAATATGAAACGAAACTCTGTTTACTGTCAAAAAAAGTTGTGATTATTTTCTGCAGAGCATTCAGTGCTGTGTGAAGAACATTCAGAGTTTTGAAATTTAATTTTTTGGTTTACACAGTAGCCAGTGCTATGAGATAAAATACTCATTGCTTTCAGATTTTCTCCGTGTATACTTCTGAGCAAATTCACCACTTACATTGAAATAACAATTTTTCCTAGAATCTACACTTGGTCAATTAAGTAGACTTTTGCTCAACATTAGCTTTAGAGATAAATGCTCTGATGACAAGAACAGGAAAAAAGATTATGCTCCATGTGGTGGAAAAAATGGAAATTAAACAGTACGATTTTGTTGAATGTGCTTTAGGATCCAAATAATTAATGCTTAATTATAGCAAACATTTCGGCCCAAATGTGAACCTTTCTCAATGCTTTATTTATCTATACAAATTAAAAAAAATTCCAAAAACCTAAACTTATACAACAATTTAATTATAATATGTTTTGTAAAAAACTTTTTTTCAAAAAAAAAAAAAGAATTTAAGTTGTGAAGTGAAATATTATAGTTTGTAATAAATTGTGCACTAGGCTTAAAAATTGTAATAAACTGTAAGGATATAAAAAATTTCGCGATATAAGAAACCACGAAAAGTGACAAATCAAGGTCATTATACTAAAACTGAAAATGTAAAACGAAGAGACTAGGTGAAACGCACGTTCATTAAAGAAAGGCCTTAAGCTCCCATCACGGAACGGCTGCGAGCTATCGAGATCCCCCTCCGAAGATGCGCGTCGCCTAGTCGAAATCAGAGTAGCTCCGCGCAGATTTGTCGGTTTACTCCCTCCATCGTTCGCCCCACGAGCGGGTATATAAATCGGCGTTTCAAAGCCAAATTTTCATTCGCAGAGTGTCACTCATCACCATCAGACTAGAGCCTCATTCAAGAGATTGAGAGCTTCGTTGAAGACCAACGCATGGTAGATGCTTCACTCATAGCCACGAACACGAAGAGTCGACGATAACGACGACAACGATTATTCAATCTAAGTCACACTTAGATTGAAACCTTCTTATGTGGAGAATTATTTTGTTCTTTAAACACACAGTAATTGGGTATCACCCAATTATTTTGAAGGTAAATTGAGTATCACTCAATATTTTTTTTGAGTTTTACTCATTAAAATTTTTAGATAAGTCGATTCTTTGGAGAGTATCATTGAGTTTCACTCAATGATAGCGTAAAGAAATCCTTATTTCTCTATTGCAATATTTCTCTCGTGTTTCTTATTACTTTTAAATATGGTTCCAAACATAATAAAAATCCTTTTTTACGACCGAAATACGCGTTATTCGAAGCGATCGCTCTTTTCTTTTTAAAAACTCGTAACACCCCTCGATAATTACTTGCGTTCCGTTCAACGTAATTGATGGAGTTATAATGTTACTTTTTTTTTTAGTTTGTAAATATTATTTTATCAAATGTAAATAATAAATTTTCGATAATTTGTAACTTCATGTAAAACTTTTCTTTTTAAAACTAGAAATCTCTTCAGGCAAGCTAATCCGCATATTTTTTTACTTACATTCGTTACAAAACATTAAATATAGTACCATGTAGAAAACAACAATAGTAAAAAGAAGAAAAAAACTAACTAAAAAATTGTAAAAAAATCTTTTCGGAACTCTACAAGTGCATCCTCCAGATGTCGACCGCTGGGGTCCTTTTTCTTTCATTTTCGTTTTTCTTACGACATGTCCGAGAGTCCCTGTCGCCAAGATTTCCTTCTGTTTGTAATAAAATTTGTATAGGTTCCGAAAATATATATTATACTAAAATTCACACACACTTATATAGTATGAATGAATGCATAAAATATTTTAGAAATAATATAAATTTTTAATAACAATTAACTTCAATAATTAATTTTATTATTATTATTAATAAATAATTAAAACGTTATTTTTCAACAATTTATATTAAGTTTTAATAAAAACTGGTAATTGTCGAAATTCATAATTAATTATTGTCTAAAATTATTAATATAAGTAAAATTAATAATAAAAATTATAAAAAATATAAAATAAATAAATAAACAATAAAAATTTAATACAATTTAACAATAATTAAATTATATTGATATTTAACAATAAATAATTATAAATAATTAAAATTTTAAATAATTACAACTATAATTTGAATGTTAGGTTAGATTATTATACAAATTTATTAAAATTAACAATAATTATAGAAAATTATAAATAAATTAAATCTAAGAAATGAATTATTCTTAAAGGGACGCATGAATATTCCCTTCATTAGACTTGACGGAATTTTTGTGGTGTCAAATTAAAAATTATCGAATTTACATTCAGTAGAATATTAAAAAAGTGATTTTATAATGAGCCTAATTTTAATAATGAAAAATTTCTATTTAACAAAATTCTGATTTTGTATAATTTCTATTTAACTGAACTTAGATAAAGCAGATTTTCTAATATATCGAATTTTCAAATAACACAATTTCCATTTAATAAAATTGATATCTAGAAAAATTTTCAAAAAAAAGAATTTTTATTTATCAGAATTGATTATTTGTCGAATTTCTATTTATCCGAATATTAACTTAAAATTATTTTAATTAACAGAATTTCCAATTAAAATAATTTCTATATAACAAAATTCTCATTTAACAAAAGTTTTATTCAAAAAATTTCTATACTATCTAATTTTTTTAAATAGTATTGTCATTTAACAGAAATTCTTCTTAGCTAAATTTTTAAGACAGAGAATTTCTATTTCACCGATACTTTATTTGACCGAAGTTTCACTTGTGCGAATTTTCATTAGATAGAAATGTTAAAATGTCGAATTTCCATTTGATCGAATTTTCATATGATTATCCACTTGGTATACAAATATCAGCGGGAATTTTAATATCAACCAATTAAAAATTATTAAGAAAATTGTGATTGGTTGATTTTAAAACTCCTGCTGATATTTGTATACCAAGTGGATAATCATATGAAAATTCGATCAAATGGAAATTCGACATTTAAACATTTCTATCTAATGAAAATTCGGATAAGTGAAACTTCGGTCAAATAAAGTATCGGTGAAATAGAAATTCTCTGTCTTAAAAATTTAGCTAACAAGAATTTCTGTTAAATGACAATACTATTAAAAAAAATTAGATAGTATAGAAATTTTTTGAATAAAACTTTTGTTAAATGAGAATTTTGTTGTATAGAAATTATTTTAATTGGAAATTCTGTTAATTTAAATAATTTTAAGTTAATATTCGGATAAATAGAAATTCGACAAATAATCAATTCTGATAAATAAAAATTCTTTTTTATGAAAATTTTTCTTGATATCAATTTTATTAAATGGAAATTGTGTTATTTGAAAATTCGATATATAAGAAAATCTGCTTTATCTAAGTTCAGTTAAATAGAAATTTTGCAAAATCAGAATTTTGTTAAATAGAAATTTTTCATTATTAAAATTAGGCTCATTATAAAATCTCTTTTTTAAAATTCTACTGAATGTAAATTCGATAATTTTTAATTTGATACCACGAAAATTCCGTCAAGTCTAATGAAGGGAATATTCATGCGTCCCTTCTTAAAAATCGTCGTAGAACTAAAATTCAAAAAAGGATATGTAAATTAAGTCAAATAATAATTGTTAATAACCAATTATAATAAAAACTATTATTGTTTATAACAAAAATTTAATCTAATTGTAAAAAGATGCAAAATATAAAAGATCTCCCTGTCTTTGAGATTTATCCCTACTTTTTGGAAATCTGTTTCTTTAAGGGACAACCCACAAAAAGTCTAAATTTTGAGTGGGATAAATTTATTCAAATTTTATATTTTCAAGTTTCAAAAGTAATTATTTAGTGATTTTTCTACAATTATTACCGAATCAGAAATTATCGAGGAAGGACGATTAATCGAATATATTTTGCATCTTTAGGGAAAATTATTTTTGATAAATAAAAAAGTAAGTTTTAAAATCATAATTACTATCTTTTCTTTATTTCTTCTTGAAAACTTCTTTCACTATCTAAAATTTTTCACAATTTCCCAATTCCAAAGAATACTGCCGTATTAAAGCTGGCGGTTATTCTTTAAAATTGTATAATTTTACCTATGTGATTCCAAATTATTTAAACCTTTGATTCCAAAATTTGTTAACGTCACTTTATATAGTTGTGACTAACAAATTTTACTCCTTATGTATTCCCTTAATTTTTCAATTATCTATAAGAAAATTCAATAGAAATAAAATAATCAAAATCAATTCCTAAGCTATTGGATGAGAATCCAGACTTAAAATTGTAAGAAATTTTTATAACTATAATTTTAATTTAAAATATAAATATTAAATTATTATTATTTGTTATAAAAATTTATAAAATATTATTTATGTTACATTACGTAACAAAACCGTTTAAACATCAAAATAGTTTCAAAACGCCAGGATTCCTGACGTTTTGAAGCTGATTTCTGATTTTATTTTTAGCAGGATTATACTGTTTTGCCATAAAAAATCTCAGCTTTCAAATAAAATTAACAAAATAAATTTTTTTAAAGGGACATAATGGGTTAAAAATTAAAAATAAGGGTTAATTTTGAAAAAGATGTTTGACATTGAAAACTATATGAAAAATCCTGTTTGTTTATTTTCAATCCAAAAATCAAAACATAACCTACATTTTTGGCCTCTAATTTCCCTTTTCTTGTGGAGCCTCACATATATTGAAAATCAATCCAAATAAAAGCACATAAAACGAACAACTTTCAATTTATCAATAAAACCCCAGATATCATTGACTAAAGGCAGAATGAGGTTTTAAAGAATTTTCCCTTTTTATTTGGCAATTTGAAAATAATTATTATAACCATCACCTGTTTCTATGGTAACATGTGGGTAAGACAAGGACAAAAAAAAGTAAAGTCTCATCAAAACAAGACTGAACACATGCATGAAATGTTTCGGCGCAATACTATCACAAAATTATTTAAATACAGTGTCTATTAAGAGGAAAATTATTAAACTTTACCTGTGACGGATTAATAAAATCATCAAGATTTGTTAATTGCAAAGTTCCACTAAATCTTGACGTCATTGTAAATAAATACTTCTTTCTGCTTAGAAAAAAATATGTGTGTGTTTTCTAAAAAGAACAGATATTCTGACCATGGTTGCACATAAACAGATCTGTTGGATATGTAGTCCCCGAATGAAATGTATGAGATAGATAAGGACGCAAATATATTTCTGTCCTTTTCTGTATTATGACTCAACCGTTTCTACATGAAAACGCACTTATAGGTTGAAAATTTAGGCATGCAACATTACGAACGTCCTACTGTATACACAAACTCCTCACTTTAGAAACGACCTGTCAAACCATTGTCAAAAGCAGGAATGTTGTTGATGTTTTTGTTAACCTATTCCAAATAAAAATATAGTTTTAATTAATTCCAAAGTTGTACCCATTATTAATAAAATACTTTATTATTTAGAAAAAAGTATGGAAGTGTAAGTATAAATAGGAGTTGTTAACCTTTTTTTCTTTTTGAAGATTTCATTTAACTACACTGATAAAAAATAATACATAATCTGCTTTTTATTTATGTAATTTCTATCTTAATACAAAAGCAATGCACACACGGCAATAATTAATGAACAAAAGGCAATTTTTAGTCACTAAGATAACAAATGTTTATCATTCATTCAAATGGTTGATACAAAAGTAATAAACTTTCTACACAAATAGAATCGGGGAAAGTTTTTTCAAGTGTTTAAAGGTATTAAATTAATTTTTTTTATAAAATTGTTTTATTAATTGAAACTATAATTATGTGGACATACGAATAAAACGAGATAATTTTTGTTATGTATAATGTTCACACAAACATAACCTATATTATTGAAATAGATAAACTGCTTCATTTTTATGTGAATTTACAAACTATTAAAAAAATGTCAATTCAAATAAAAAGTAGATATTATTTTAAACTAATAATAAAATACATAACATTAATAAACGTTTAAAATGTTTTTTAAAATAAAATAATTCATTATAAGTAAATTATATTTTTTATCGTTTAATGTATTGAGTAGATTTAGAAATTTTTAAATTAAACTAAATTTCTTTAGCATATCTATTAAAATTTTCAGTCGCGCTTGAACTGGAAAACTATTAAAAAAAATATTTAAATAATTACGTATTCATTTAAATTTATATACAATTATTAAGCACGTGAAAAAATTTAATCTGTTTTTACTTAAATGAACTTACGAAATTTTATACAATTTGATTTATCAAAACAACAAATTTTTTTAAGGTAAAGTCTGGATAATTTAATTTTTTACATTCAAATAATAAACAATTAAAAAATAAAATTTTTCAATATTTAATAATTTTACTACCTTACTTAAATAAACATGTGATTTTAAACTTAGTAACTAGTGTAAAAATTAGCTTTCTTCAGTAATAATTGTCTTACGTACATTGTTTTTGTACTAAAGTTCAATTCAATGATTCAAATAATTAAATTTAGGAAAATTTTGGCACTCTATTGAATAAAAAGTCATTTCAAAATAATAATAATAATATTACTCGCTGTAATACATGTATGCAGTAAAAATTTTGCTACTAATAATGTTTTGCGCCTTCTTTACAAGCATGTAAAGTAATGCTTTTCTTTAAGGTGTTGCACAAAAAATATTTAAAACTTAGAATAATTAAATAAAAAATGCCTCGAATGTAGATTTTTATTAATAATTATATAGAAAAAAGTTCAAAAGATTAAATCCATTTCAAATCAGACAAGCTGATTAACTTCAAATCGTAGATTTACCTGACGCTGAATTATGTTATTCTTTATTAAAAATAAGGAGACACGTATTTTTTTATCAAAAAAACACTTTTGAAAAATTGTTTTGCTTGTATTTTTTTTTCTTTTTAGTATAATCAAAAAAAATTTTTTTTTTGATGTTGGTGGTCACGATTATAATTTTCATTTAACGAATTGCCATTTCACATAATTTCTAAATTTTCTAATTATTATTTTTTTGAATTTTAATTTGAACGAATTATTAATATAAAAATTATTTCTTTTGCGAATTACCATTTAACATAATTTTAATTTCCCCTAATATTTATTTATTTATTCTAATCTCTATTTTCTCGAATCGTTATATGCCATAATCAGAATTTTACAGAAACTCCATTTGCCCTCACATACTTCCGGTCAATTTCAGTACTGTAGTTTCCCATCTATTATGTGAAATGGCAATTCGGTAAAATGAAAATTATATAAAATAGCAAATCTTAACTTTTAAAAATAGAAAAAATATAAATTTGATAAATTACATTTTAGAACAAATAATTGTTCGAAAAAATATTTATTATGCCAAATGGTATTTCGAAGAAAAAAAATTGTAAGAAATGGTAATTATGTAAAATCAAAAATAGAATAAACTTTTATTTGGAAAAATAAAAATTATAAAAGTACTAATTCCCTACAATAATAATTATGATAAATGATTATTCGGTAAATTGAAAATTATATGAAATGTTCTTTCGAAGTTAAAAAATTCTGTCAAATAATAATTCGAAACTATTTTTATTATAATTGTTAATAAATAATTAAATAATTTATTAATTTTTTTAAAAACGCATTTCAGGAATGTTTTTGTTTTGGCTTCCTGCAATAGATTATGAAAAAAAATATTTTAAATTTAAAAAGTCAGTTTTAGGTGGCCCAGTTGTGAAATTTTCACCCAGATCTGAACAAGAAATAACAAGATTTAAAAGGAATATTTCTGTTCTTAAATATTGTGATTTTTTCAGAAGCATGGTCTGGAAATTTTATTCAAATTTAAATTATCGTTCAAAAATTTTTTCGAAATTATTTCAACAAGTTTCTGACAACTGATAATATTTTGAAATTAATATGTATTTGTGAATTTAATAGGTATTGAGTTAAATTGTTAAAATACAAATTTTAATAAATGAGAAATAAAAAAATTACATTTAAAAGGTTAAAACATAAAGACACTGAGAAAAAAGGTTTGAGCTGACAACCAAATATTTCATTTAATATATGTGCAACTAAATTTTTTTGGTTGACACAACTAAACTTTAGTTGACTTCAACCAAAGTTTGGTTGAGACTACCAAATTCTTTTTCATTTTCATATTTAGTCGTCTGAAAGAAACTTTGGTTGTTGTCAACTAAAGTTTAGTTGTGTCAATCAAAAAATTTTAGTTGCACATATATTGAATGAAATATTTGGTTGTCAGCTCAAACCTTTTTTCTCAGTGGAGTTTTAATTCAAAGTAAAAATATCTTTCAAAAATTTTCGTTTTTGAAAAATATTTTTCTTTATGTTAAACTTTTAAAACATATTTTTCGCAATTATTACGAATAATTGTTTCGAGAGAAATTAAATATTTTTATTAAATATTGAAACGCATCTGGTAAAAATAACTAAATTTTTGAATACACATAATTATTTGATTTAGAATATGTTGGTTATATAACGAATTACTTCAGTTAAATTCACAACTCTTTACTTGTTCATGAAAGTTCACACCAATAATTTCAAATGTCGAAAAAAATTCTCCTTGTCGCTATAATGGTTTAGCCCGATTGTAACTTATAGGAATTGTTATCCACACTGGTACGAATTTATGGTAAAAATTTGGAACAAAAAAAATGGGGGTTTTGAAAAAATTAGCTTTAAATATTTTCGGAAAATCAACTCTAGTTTCGTTTATTTTTAAACTGTTTGCAAATTTCAAACGGGATTTTAAAGAAGACAAGACCACCAACATCCAAAAAAAATTTTTTGATTATACTAAAAATAAAAAAAATACAAGCAAAACAATTTTTAAAGTGTTTTTTTTTTAGTTTTATCATTCAAAATACAAATGCGCATAATTTCGTTAAAAATAAATTTTATGAAAAATAAAAAAAATACATGTCTTCTTATTTTTCATATAGAATAACATAATTCAGTGTCAGGTAAATCTACGATTTAAAGTTAGTCGGCTTGCCTGATTTGAAATGGATTCAAGCAAAATAATTTTATCAATAAATTTAAATGGTTATATACCTTTAAATAGTGATTATTAATACTTTTTTAAAATCTGTAATAATAGTGGCAACTCCAGTAATACTCACACTTACCCTAATTATTTCTGAACTTGAAAGAGTTTAGATCTTTAGGAGTTAGGCTACTATTGACAGCTAAAATTAATGTTAGGATGTTTTTAGGCATGCTTTGAAGTGTTTAAAAAAATATTTTTTATTGAAAATAGTTATAAACTTTCATCATGAGAATCCTTCTTGTGAGGTGGTTTTTTTTGGGAGTCTCAACTGCACGCAGTACTCAGTTATTAAAAATGAATCTCAGATAAACTAAATTTTTTTACTAATTTATATTAGTATAGATACGTAACCGATTTTAAAAATATTCATTTTCGTTAAGTTGGTTCAAGCTTTCAAAGTTAAAATTCAAATTTTCGACAAAAAAAATCAGTATTTATACCTAAAAAATCCGAATTGAGATTTTAACTTATTGAAAATCGGCAATGCATTTCTGTGAGAAATGTTGTTTTAAAGATGTGATATAAATTCAGAGTGAAAAAAAAATTTGTTAAGTTATGCTGCGTGCAGATTTGAAAAATTCGTTTAAAGGGCATTTCCATGAAAAAGCGGACATTTTGTCCGTGCATCACGATGCCTAAATTTGTCTATAACTTTTTATCAAATTATTATAAAATACAATTTTTTTCGATGCAAAAAGATAGGAAAATAAAAACTTTTCCAAAAATTTTTTTGATTTTATAAGAAAATTGAAAACAGATACAGTAAATTCAATTGTTCTCGTGGAAATGCCCTAAAGTTTTGACATATATTTTCAACCGGAAAACATAAAAAATTTATAAATTGAAAATATTTTACCATTACTCTGCTATTCCAGTGCTGTAAACATATATTAGAGAACTAGAAAAGTTAGAAGTGGAATAGTAAGGAATTATGCTGAATCCAACGAATAGGTAGCAACTTATCGTAGGTGGTCGTTTATTTAGAGTAACTGACATGGTTTGGGAAAGAAAGCAAAATTTCAATGAAAAAAAATTCGAATCGATATAAAACCTTTTTCCTATTATTTTACAAGTATCAAAATATTTTTTAAGCCTATAAATTTTTTTTGATCATTTGAAAATTCTACAGTGGCCTAAAATACGCAAATTTTTTGAAATTTTTTTTTCATTGTTCTATATGTACATATTTTTTAAAACATTTATATACCTAAGAGTGTTCATTTTCTTTAAAATTTTATCAAAACTTCGTTAAAAAATATTCATAATTGAAGGAATTGCACGTATTCTCCTGAATGATGATTTTCAAAAAGGCAAAAATATATTTTTTAAAATATCTTGAACTCGCCTTCCATATTTAACAAAAATTGAATAAAATTTTTTCAGGTTGAAAGAATGCACAGCTTATCTTAGTAATCATGAAGTTCTAAACATTCTTCAAGGAATGAAATCAAATAAAAAGCAAAATTCGGAACAACAGTTAGCCACAATTACCTATCAGACTGTCAAGTATTTGGAGAATATTCCTTCCAGTAAACAATCTTCTGAAAAAATTCGCAACTTTTTAAAAGCTGTCGAAACGTTTAAGTTAACAAAGTGTGAAAAATTGACGTTATTGAATTTGTGCCCAAAGACCGCTCTCGAGATTCAACTGGTAAATAAAAAATTCTCTTTAGAAATTAAAATGTTATAAATATAACACAATTAATTATTAACAAAAATGTTGTCTTTTTCGGTTTTGCTGAAATCATAAAATTTATATTACGTTTTTTCTGCTTTTAAATGAATAAAATTTCCAATTGACCAAGCTCTCAATAACTGAGAAATTTTAAATAATCGTGACACTTCTTTCGTTTAAGATTGTCGAAGACAGTGAAGATCGGTTATCTGAGGAAGAGGTTGTATCATTATTACAAGTGATTGCGGATAATTTAGAAGATAAGGAAGAACAACCCAGCTGATGTGATCTTTCTAAATAGTATGTTAATTCTTTTTTCTCTTTGTGATATTAAAGGCAATTTTACATTTAGTATTAATTTGTTATTATTATTATAAACCTGATAAGTGAAAATAAACTAAACTAGCTAGAGCCCATAATATTAACTAACATTTAATTAAAATTTTTGTGTAAACAACTTTAATAAATTACAATGCCTTCAAATTTTTATTTTTTTATAATGTCGGGAGTAGCATATTCGAGAAAAAGGGCGTTGGGAAAATGAATTCGGGAAAAATAGTGTCGGGTGAAAGTCTGTCGGGAAAATTGATTTTCGGGTAATTCAATTCGGGAAAACTTACGGTAAGCGGGATGTTTAAAAAAAATTGTTCAATTTCAATGTAGCTGGGTGTCTATGAGTTTTTGGGGTCGCTGATTACGAATCTGATGTCAGTTTTTAAAAATTCAAAATGGCGGCACAGGGTTGCCACGGAACACTGATTTCAAAATTCCATAACCTTTCCAGGTTTTCCAGACCATTTTTTAAAAAATTCCAGATTCAAATATAAATTTTTAAAAATTAATTTTTAGCCAATTATGACAAAAAATACAAAATCCTTTAATTAAATTATTAATAAAATAATTTACTAGGGTCAGTTGGGGTAAATCGAAACAGTAGTTATTTTAGTTAAATAACAAATTTTAAAAATAAATACGGCCTTAAACCTTGAACCTTAGATCATCCCCAATAGGTTCTAAGTATTCTCCCATTTTCCGTTTGTCAATCAGCAGCAATATAAACAAAGATAGTTCCTATTGAATACAAAATTGAAAATCAAAAAGGACACCCTTTCACTTTTTTGACTCACATTTGGAAAAAAATAAACTAAAAATTCATATTATTAATTATAATTATCTCTTATTAATACTGCAACAAAAATCAACTTTGATTTTTTCATTTTGCAAAATTCAATTAAAAATAGGAGACTGTTTCTATTTACCCCTAAAAACTGGAAATTCGGGGTAAATAGAAACAGAAATTTCAACAATATTGGAGAGAGAGAAAATTGTTTTTATCAACTATAACACTATTTTCAGCATTATAAAAATGCATTGGAAATAGTATTCATCTATATTCTCATCAGTACATAGTATTTAACATGGTTTATTTTTAAACTTATGTAATGCATTATTATTTATTAGTTCGAATTATTTTATAATTAACACCATATTTTTTACGTAATTCTTTGTATTTTTTAACATCTGCATACTTCAAATTAATTTTTTCTTTTATTTTCTAAGAAACAATGACTGTTTCATATTTACCCCTAAATTTTAGCAAAGTTGAAAAATTTAGGGGTAAAAAGAAACAGATGATTATTGCTAATTAATGATACCCATATTTTCTACTACCCCATAAAATTGTTCCACGGAAGTTAAATAATAACTCAATACACAAAAAACCGAAAGTATTGTGATTTAAAAGAAAAAACTTATATTATTGGTGAAACTTAGCAAATCTGTTTCTATTTACCCCAACTGACCCTAATAATTTCATATTCATGCTCGATTCAAAATATTTATTTTACGTAATTTTATAAAGACAGCTACACCGTGTTACGCAAAAGAAAATATTTGACCAATAGAAACTAAGATTTAGAAACGCCATATTGATTTCAACTCTAAGCACTAAATTTAAAACCGAAAAATTGTAATGACGACTTGAAAACTTGAGATTTTTCGATTCACATACTGTAAATTAAATTTTTAGAACGAGATTTTATAAAATTCCCTGACAATTACAGATTTTCCAGGTCCGTGGCAACCCTGTAATATGGTAGACGATTTTTTAAAAAAATTGTTAAATTTCTATAAAATTCGATACCTATCTAGGGTTTTTGGGATCGATGGTTAGGAATCTACTATTACTTTATAAAAGGCAATACTAAATCAAAAATATTTATTATTAACTTTTATCTTCGAAAATTTAAAGAATGATTCCATTGTTTACATTAAATTACATTGTACTAGGTGTCATAAAAATCCTTTCAAATTTTGAGCTGGGATTATTGTCCAGCTAGATTCACCGTGAGGCACCTTGAAATCATGTCGGACATAATTTTTTCATGAAGTGGGACACTTGGAAGAGTGAAATGATAAAAAAAAGTTTGGTGTACCAATACGAAAAAAAAAAAAATAAATTAAGATATTAGGTTTCTATTAAACATAAACTTTAATAACAAAATTTTTCTATCGCCAATTTTTTAATTTTTCAATAAAATAAAAATTTTAAATTGGTAAAACAGTAAAATGGTAAATAAAAAAAATTGACGATTTTTTTGGGATTAAGGAGTAAATAGGTAATAAAAATTGGCCCATAAGAACGTGAACACATTTTTATCACATAAATGAAGTAAAAAACATAAATTTAAAATAAATATTTATTTAAAATGGATAGAAAATGAAATCTAACGAAAATCGAAACAAAGTTTTATGTGCAGTGCCACTTAAGGACACTGCCCTTAAATACGTATTATAGATGGTCATCACATTCAAAACATGTATAATATAAAAAAATTTTACTGAATTTTTTGGAACTTAGTGAACTTTAGACAGACTTATTTTATTTCTTAGATTAAAGCAACGAATAATCAAGTAAAGTTTGAAAAATATCTCTCATAATCGAATCTAAGTCACTATAATACCTTGAAGTATAAACTGTATGAGAAAAAGTTATGCAATTTTTTCACGATTTTTTGCCATGAACAAAAATTATGTTGATTTTTAAAAGTTGATAAAAATGTTTTGCCATTAAATATGTTTTAACTTGATTACTTCCTGTCAAAAATTTGACAATAGGCACCGAGAATTTGGGATTTCTATTATTATTATTATTATTATATTTATTTCTCACTCAGTGTGTCATGCAATGTGGAAATTTCAAAAATTTAAATAAACTCAATTTTATTAAAAACCCACTAAATGGTTTCATAACTATTAATATTTTAAAAAATGATAAGTAATGTTTTTAACTTATATAATAAATGTATATTAATTTTAACACAGTTTCCTCTGCAGTTTAATGAAAAAATACTAAATATTACTCTATTTTTACCCAAGATTGATATTTCATGTTTAAATCGTTTATTTCGTTATACTTTTGAAATGAAAATAATTCTTAAATTATTTGAACGTGATTTAGCATGCATATAAAATTAAAACATCACAAGAATACGGAAAAAGTTTTGTTTAGTTATTGAGTAATAAAGTAGATATTAAGATAAAATTCTGTACATGATTGTAATCTAAAAGTACATTTCCACAATTCAGGACACAAAAGACAAAATTCATGTTTGTAAACTTAGAGGAATTTCTGCAGTTTCCATACAGAAATTTCAGTCGCCTACTATCTCTTTTGGTCTCCTAAATCGTCTATTGAATCTTCATCGATCTAAAATGAAATATTTACATTTAAATTATTAATATCTAAACAGCACTTTTAGTAATGATGCTAACGAAAAGTATGTCAAACCTGTGGCCATTTTTCAGGAATCACATCAAATAAATCATCCTTTACATCACCTTGAATAACGATTTCATCCTCACCAGTGACACTAGATCCACACGCAAACTTACTTCCGAAAAACTTTGCAGCTACTTTTAAATCGATATCTAAAAAATAGATTAAGCATCAAAATGGAATAATAATAAGAAAGATTGTAAAGTTGAAGAAAAATTAATACTTTAACTATTCCTACCAAAAGTACTTAATCCTGTTACTACTGTTACAGACTTTTTCTTTCCTCTTGGTGCTCTGGACACGGTAACCAATTTTGGAATATCTTCCTTCTTTTTTGTTTTTAACATGCCTTTACCACCTCGTTTCTGACGCTTTTTCTCATCTTCTCCTCCCCCTCCTCCTCCTCCAGCCTCTGTACTTCCATCTTCTGCTAATTATTTATACAAATAGCATATTAAATACATAAAAAAAAATTATTAAAATTTTTGAATTTTAGGTATTTATTCCGTGTTATCCGAGTTTTCGCTTATCCGAGGCGCCTCTTCCCCACATTACCTCGGATAATCGAGACTCCACTGTACTTATATATTTAGAACTGTTTGACTTTTAAAGGTTCATCCAACTTTGTCAGTTTCAAAAAATCAAAATTTTTTTCCTACGTATTTCAAAGAAAAAGTATTTAAAGAAGAAAAAATATTAATTAAGGCAAGTCACCAATCACCACCTTTATTTTGAGTCCTTAAAATTTTAATTATCGCAGAAAGTTATATTTTTTTCTTTCATTATTTGTTAATAATGAACAAATGTCCCCATTTACCCCAAGTTTTCAAATTCTTGGGGTAAATAGGGACAGTTTGTTATTATTAACCGAATTGACAAAAATAAAAAATTCAAGTGAATTTCTGTTATGGAAATCATAAGGAATAAGAAAACATTTTTATATGATTTTTAAGTCTGTTTTCTTTGAAATGCGAGACAAAATACTGAAACAGTTTCACTTTTGATTTTCAAGTTTGTATGCATTGAGCGATAACTTTTTTTATCTTGCTGCCAATTGTCAAGATAAAAGCTATGCAATACTCAGAAAATCTTCTAGGTGATCTGAGGTTAAAATATTTACGTTGAACTTCATTTTAAAACTGTAAATTAAGCTCCAACACCTCTCGTTTCTATTTACCCCAACTAACCCTAACATCCTGCCATCATTAAAGTTTAAAGGATTCAAAATAAAGGTGGTCACTCCCCTTAACAAAAATATTTGCAATTTGCAGAAGCATTAAAAAGTATAATTTAGGTTCCTAAACAGCATAATCGAATGTAAGCATACTGTCGTTGATTTGTTACTTTTCCATAAAAATTAATAATCCTAGTTCGGTCCACAGCGAGTTATACTGAACCTAAATCTTTTTGATTTTCAAATTATTCGTCTTCGAAGAAATATCAACGCCGATGACGAACTACTTTTTGACGGTGTGTTGTTTATTGTTTAATATTTAATAAACAAATTTTTTTTAATATGAAAACTTTTCTTACACTTGAAGATTGTATTTATTCAGCAGCCAAAAAATATTTAGACTGATACATTCTATAGAAATTTAAAAAAAAAACTCAAAAATAGCTCATTTTTCGGGCGCTTAAAGTAGGATGAACGCTTAAATTATATTAAGTTATAATATATGATGATCAAATAGTAAACACACACAAAAACATATATTTGCATAAATTTGATGGTGTACCAGAGAAATAAACAAAAACAATCATCTTACCCAATTTAACTTTTTCGAATTCTGATGGTAAGTTTCTTTCAAGCCATTGTTTGCATTTTTCGTACTCTGGATAGTATTCACAGTACTGTAATTAAATATATAGCTTAAATTATTTTCAAATATAATTAATTTAACTTAATTAACAATACCACTAGTTGAAATATTTTACGAAAAACAATTAATATTTCATAATTTAGTAGGTACTAGCAGTAGTAGTAATTTTAAGGAGTACATACAGCCCTTATTTTTGGGAACCATTTTTGAGAATTTATTGTGGTTAAATAAAACAAGGTATTAAGATAATACTTTTTGGACTTTATTACTATACGCACTTCACTTATATTTTTCGTTAGAAGTTTTGGGTCACTCAAACTAAAAAAAAAAATTCGTAAACAAATTTTTTTGTTGAATGTGTTTAATATTAAATGAATAATTTAGTACATAGTTTAACAATAAATATGGTTTTAAATTTATTTTAAATTGATTTAAATTTTTTTAATTTTTCTGTCGTTTAATACGTTGACAAAAAAATTCAAAAACTCCCTTTTTTAAAAACATCCTGTGGTCAACAATTTAACACAAATATTTTTTCAACTAAATATTTTCAGTTATAAACTTTTGATTATTTAGTATATCCCAACCTAAGAAAGTAAAATATATGTGACAGTAGTAAACAAAAGTATCTTTCTAAAATCTGAATCTATATTAATAAAATTAGACTTTTGTCTGTACATTGCTTAGAACTTAAAAATTCATGTATAATTCTTTGTTTCAAATCATATGGATTCTAAAAATAGCATTAAAAAAAATTCTGTCTGTCTGTCTGTCTGCACAATATTTTGTTCGTCAATCACGCATAAACGGCTTGACCGATTTAAGTGAAACTTGGCAGTCTTTTAGGTATTAGACTAACTTAAAATCTTAGCCATAGGGTCAGCCGGGGTAAATCCGAACGCTAATTATTTCAGCTTAATTAAAATTTTTAAAAATAAGTTCGATATGAGAATTTTTACCTCAGATCCTCTTCAAGAGATTCTAAGTATTATCCCATTTTTCGTTTGTTAATTAGCAACAGCATAAACAAAGATAACGAGTATTGCAAAAAAGATTGAAAATCAAAGATGACACTCTTTCAGTATTTTGTCCCGTATTTGAAGAAAAAGAAGCTAAAAATTTATTTTATTATTTATAATTGTTTGTTATGAATACTAGAACAGAAACTATTTTTCATTTTTGCCTTCTGTAAAATTTTATTAATAATATCAGACCGTTCGTATTTACCCAGGAAAATTGGAAAACCGGGGTAAATCCGAACGGTATTTTCAATAATTTTTTTTTACATCAGAGCCACACAAAATTGTTTTTATTTCATTACACTATTATTTTAACATTATAAAAGTACATAGAAAAAAGTTTTTCTTTCTATACGTATCCTCGTTAGTAATTAATAAGCAGAAACTTAATCTCTGTTCTCTCGAAGGAGTGTTTCAATTTTTTTGCCAAATGGTTTGTTGAAAAAAGTTTTTCAGGATCTTAATAAAATTTGGTATTCTACGGTTTTTGGGGTCGCTAATTACCAATTTGAAGTCAGTTTTTCAAAATTCAAAATGGCGAACGAGAATTAAAAAATTCATTGGATTCGCTCGAAAATTGTTACTCGGGGGGTTTCAGGGTTACGAATTTTTGATCATTTTTAAAAATAAGTTTTAGGAAAGTCCGCCACTTGAATTTAAAAAATTTGACTTTTATTTTTGTATTTACATTCAATCACTCCAAAATACTTTCTGTAGCAAGTTTTGCAAAAATCCGTTATGATTTGATAAAGTTATTGAAGGTTTTAATTGTGTAATGCATTTTAATTTTTAACCTGTTTGATTTTTGTATTTATATATGATGCATTATTACATAATAGGTTTATTATCGTATTTTTTTTGAGTTTTTATATAAGTTTAACAATTGCAATACTTTAAATTTACTTTCCCTAAGATTTTTCTGAAATACAGTGGCGTTCGTATTTACCCCCATATTTTAGGAAAGTTGCAAAGTATCGAGGTAAATACGAACGCTAAGTTTCCTGCGATTGTAATTTATCAAAAATTTTTTCTACCCCATAAAATTGTTCTATGGAAGTAAAGTAACAACTTCATGCACCAGAATACCGGAAGTATTTTTTTTTAATGAAAAAACTTATGTTATTGTTGAAACTTACTAAAAGCGTTCGGATTTACCCCGGTTGACCCTACTCCATTAAAAAATATTAACTTGAACGTAAGTTATGGCACTTTTTGTAAAAATCGAAATTTTAAAATTTTTTCGCTTATTTTTACTAGACTTTTTTTTAGAAGTTTTTTGAGGTTAATTAATCGCATTTTTACCTTAAAATTGAGAAAATAACTGATAGATTTAAAATTGTGAAGAAAAATTCCAAAAATCAAATTTTTTAAATTTAATTTCTGTTATATTTTACTAAACCTTTTTTAGCTATGTTTTTGAGTCCAATTAATCAAATTTTAACTTTAGAATTAAAAAACATGACAAATATAAAGAAATGAAAAAATATTTTTTTTTAGTAACAACCTTTTTATAATTATTGTTTTCGGGTTATAGATTTTTATTTTAATATTATAGTTTAAGTAATATTAAAAGATTTTAAGTTGTAAAAAAAGTATAAGAAATTAAAATTTGAAAATAATTATTTAAATAAAATTTTATAATGCTGTTTCGATTTTGTCTCAACTGATTATTTGCTAACTTCATTCCCGCAATTTATTGACTGTCTTATTTTGTCAACACGTTTGACAGATGTTTATGGAAAGAAGCAAGGAAATCGATACAGATAAAAACAATTAATTATAATTGATAATAATTATAAATATATTATAATAATAATAAAATAATCAATTAATATTAAATCAAATATTTTAAGCCATCGACTAAAGGAAGATTATTTTATTATTATTTTTTTAACAAGCATTCTAATTATTTTCAAAAATACAATTAGAAAATTTAACATCTATGTTAAATTTTTTAAATGTATTTTTGAAGATAATTAGAATGCTTAGTTTAAAAAGAAATTAATTTCTAAAATTTTTAAAAAATATTTTTTAATTTTGTAATAATTTTTTATAATTATATTTTATTCTTTAAATATATTTTTAAAATTGTTTATTTGAGAAATTTAAAGAAAATTTAATACAGGTTTAAATAAAAAGGGTTTAATAGTAACCTATATTTTTTTGGGAATTTATACAATTTAAAAAAAAAATTTAATTTTGTGGTAATTTTTGATGATTAAATTTCATTTTTTAAATTAATTAAAAAATGTTTTTTAAATAATAATCTGTATTGACTTATGAAATTGTATATTTTAGAAAAATATTTTTTAATTTTATAATTAAATAAATTACATACATTCCCAAGTAGCACGTTTTATTGCCTCAATATCAAGGGAATATTACATTTAAGATTCGTAATGTTAGCTGTAATATTACAGTAACCTTACAGTAATCTTAAAATGTCCGCCTCAGGGTAATATTACATGTAATATTGAGGCAATGTTACCCGGTAATATTGAGGGAATATTACAGGGTAATGTTGAAAAAATTTAAAAATTGTTAAAATACATGGTAACGTTGAAAGCGTAGGTACAAATTGCAATCAATTGTTTATTTAATGAAAAAAAGACTTAATTTTAATTTTCTAAATCTTACCGTGTAATATTGAGGGAATATTCCCTTAATATCACTTTGTAATATTCCCTCAATATTACCGGATAATATTGCCTCAATATTACATGTAATATTACCCTGAGGCGACTATCTATACAAAAAATTATTTGCACGAAAATACTGTTCGGCGCACACCACTAGATTTCGCTCCCGCCGAAGGCGGGTAGGAAAGCTAGTATACTATATGTATATAAAAAATTTTAGAATCTTTATTATCAGAGAAAGTCGATTTTCCATTAGCCTGAAGTTCTGAACATTTAATTGAACGAAAAAATTTTTTACTACATACTTTTTTTAATTACAAAATAATAAAATATTGTAGTTTTTGAAAAATTTATAGACCAAAATAATTATTTCGTTTATTTGAACGTTCATTACTTTAGGTTAATGATTTTTCTTAAGACCAAAAACTAAATTTAACAGTCATATTTTTACGCAATCGTTGGTTAAAGCATTAAGTTTCTTTAAATTGTAGGTCTCACTGGCGGATAAATAATGAGAGTACTTTGAGCCATATATTAATTAACTTTTAAGAGGGAAACTCGTGTAAATGCATGTTTTTTCAAGTTTTTTTTTACAAAAAAGTAGTAAAGTTTATTGAATTGAAATAAAGCATACCTTAAACTGTACAATATAAGCTATAAATAATAATTTTTTAAATTAAAAATATTGCAAAATGGCGGCGTTACAGGCGTTTAAAGTTAGATCTTTGGTTTTCCGCCGTGCAGCCTACATGTCTCAAATCTCAACCAAAATCAAAAAAATGAAATTTTTATCGTTAAAATACACAAATACCCTTTGAATGACGAAGAGAAAATTTAAAAAAATCAATTTCTTTTTTTATAAACAATCTACAAAAAACATTGTTTAAAAAAAGCAGCTCGTCATGCAATAGCGAGTAAGTTAAAGAAGATTTCTGGTAAGTTTCGTGACAATCGATTAAAAATTGTCTGAGCTGCGTTGCACGGCGCGCGAAAAAACGCGTTTAACGTTTTCGATACAAAAAAAGTAGTGTTACAACTATTGCCTTGAAGACGTTATGTATTCGATAATAACATTCATACATCTAATTATTATAGATTAGTAATATAGGATCATATTCTATAGATAGTAAGCTAATTTTTAAAGCAAAAAAAATTGTACACGAGTTTCCTCTCTTAATAAATTAATGTTTAGGTTTGTCAGTAATTATTGTAAAATGATGTCAAATCATCACTTAATGGCATTAAGTATCCAGTTACAAAAAATTTAGAAATAATCTGTTAAAAAATTAATAATTTCAAATTTTTTTCGGGGCGGTACGAATTCAACACAAAGTAAATACTACATCGAAAAACCCTACACAATAAACTATTAACTAGAAAATTATCTCTATAAACTCTACACAAATAAACTCAACACATTAAGATTTAGAATTAGAAAAATAAAAATATTTTTTTTTATAATTCTTCACAAATAAATATTACATTAGTAAATTCTACACAGCTATAAAAAATAATAAATTAAATTCGACACAATTAAATTCAACACATGAAAATAATCTTTCCTTTTGTGTCGAATTTAATTTATTATTTTTTATAGCTTTGTAGAATTTACTAATGTAATATTTATTTGTGTAGAATTATAAAAAAAATATTTTTATTTTTCTAATTCTAAATCTTAATGTGTTGAGTTTATTTGTGTAGAGTTTATGGAGATAATTTTCTAGTTAATAGTTTATTGTGTAGGGTTTTTCGATGTAGTATTTAATTGTGTAGAATATATTTTTATTTTATTTTATTGAGAATTTACTCGTGTACAGTTAGCGGTGCAGTATTTTCTTGTGTAGAGTTTATTTGTGTTGAATTCGTACAGCCCCATTTTTTTCGAATTTATTGAAAAAGTGTCATAACTCCTGTTTCAATTAATATTTATTAATTCAGTAAAGCTAACTAAGATTGCAAGTTACACTAATACATATCAGATTCCCCATTTTCATTTATTCGGTCAAGCAGTATTTTGTATTTTGTGCAAACACTAAAAAACATTACTATAAAAATATATATTTTTGTCTGAAATGAAAATGAAGAAATATGTAGGTAATTATTCGGCCATTTGATTTTTAGTCAAATTTAATTTTGATACGCTTAAGCAAGTTTATTAAGTTTTTCTGCTATTAATTTATTAATAGAAATAGGAACTTTTTTTTAAAGTAGAAAGTAGAATGGACGATTTTTTAACAGATATTCAGCATAATTTGAAGATTAAATAAAGAAATTTTTTTTTCAGTTGGTCTTGGCAAAAAAATATAACATAGTTAAAATATAAATGATTATGGACTTATTGCAAAAAGATTTTTAAAACATTTTATATGATAATAATAGACAAATTTCTCCATTTTATTACTCTTTGCTTTAGTAAAAATGTTTCAATGAATGTACTTGAGCTTAAGTGTAATTGATTTTAGCCAAAAAAGTAAATTTCTTTAAAATTTAGTTACATATACACAGCAAATGCGATAAAAAATAAAAGTTGAATTTCAGTATAGATAAGCAATTTTTTGTAGCATAATTCGACCAGTTAAAAAAGCAGGAAGTTCCTATCTCTATTTGTTATTATTTAAATAACTCCCGCCAATGTGGAGAAAATTTAGGAAACTAGTGTTGTTAGAGATGGATTTATAATTCAGACTGACTTAATAACAATGAATAATATAGCTTGACAGTCCTTTGATATAAAAAAAATTCACATTAAAAGAAATAAAAATGATTCAATGCTGTGTAATATGTACATGAATATTACCTCTATAGGAAGTGAACAGTTGCCGCAATATTGTACATGAATCGGATAACTTATAGAAGCATCCGGTCCTAATTGCAAATTTGGTTGCTTTTCAACAAATTCTGATGACATAATTTAATAAATGTTCTAAAATATTGTATGAAAAATAAACGTTTATTGTTCAGTAAAAGAAAAAAATGAATTCCTTTTCTCTAATTTATTTACAATATGAACTACAATACGACAAAATAGGTTATAAGTTAGGTTATATTATGCACTTTTTATGAACAGAGATGGACTACACTACGGAAGCGCTTACGCGCGACACTGTTTATCGGCATGACGGCGCAGGACCTCCTAGGCCATGTAACGAGTCTCGCTTGAATAACATTTCGATATCTCGAAACAACGAGATATCTACGCGCTAAATAATAAATATTCAAAATATTAAATAATTAATTTAATATATATTTGAAAATTTATTCTCACATAAATTTAGCACTTGAGGAAAGTATAAAAAGGAAAACTAATTGTAGAACAATATCGTCACGCTTTAAGTATTTTCAAATCTTATTCTCAAATCCAAGAATATAAACAGTTCTAAGAAAAACCATAAATTAAGTAAAATAGCAAAAGGAAACAGGATTCCAACTTTCCTTTAATTCCAGCTATGAAATATAAACCCTTAATGATCATAAAAAATCCACTTGAAAAAATTTGTGGATCGTATCTCTACAGGACACCAAACACATGTTGAGCAGATACAAACGTAGACTCGCTAAATCATCTTCTCTATAAGGCAGATTATTGATAATATATAATCGTGGTGTGTGTGTGTTATTTACACAATAAAATAATAATTGCAAAGAAGTATGTGTATAACTCATGGAGCGGTCACACCTCGGCTGCAGGAGCAGTTGCCCATGGCAACCGTGTAAGAGTAAGAGAGATAGAAGATTTTCCATCTCCCTTACTCTTACACGGTTGCCATTGGCAACTGCTCCTGCAGGCGAGGTGTGACCGCTCCATCAGAGCTAAACCAGATAGCACGACTTTTTGCTGTGAGGTTACTGTAAGGATATCTGTAGGGCTTGTAAGGTTACCGAGTAAGCCTGCAGTAAAGTTGAGGTCATCTTAAGGCCTATTCCAGAATGAAGTTAATGGCTGGTTCCACAATGGGCTCGACGCAAGGTAAACGCAGCGTTGACGCGACGCATCCCAATGCTAATCAAGGCGTTTCTCCAATATGGTCCCAAACTCTTGCGTTGCGTGACTGACGCGTTGATTTTAGCATAGGTTGCCAATAGCAACCGACGCAACGCATACGCAACGCAAGAGTTTAGGATCTTATTGGAGAAACGCCTTCAAATGAGGATGCGTCGCGTATGCGTGGCGTTTAGCTCCATTCTGGAAATGGCCTATTGGAGAAAGGCCTTTCAATGTTTGCGTTGCGTGACTGACGCAATGGTTCGCAAGCGCAGTAACGTCATCAAAGCATTGATACCAACCGCGAACAAAAAGTTTGGTTTATGATTTTAAGACACTGAATTTTTTAATTATAAATATTAAATAATTAAAATTATTAAATGCCGTCGAGAAACATTTGCATTAAAAATTGGAAAATTGGAAAATAGGGATAAGAGAAACAAAAGCCAAACTTTTTGTTCCCGATTGGTATCAATGCTTTGATAACGTCACTGCGCTTGCAAACCAACGCGTCAGGCCCTTTCCAGAATGGAGCTAAACGCATCGCAATGCTAAGCAAATGGGGATGCGTCGCGTTTGCGTTGCGTTTAGCTCCATTCTGAAGAGGGCCTCAAAGCCTGAGCAGAATAGAAACGTAACCGTAATCGCAATCGTAAACGGAAGAATGAGTTAGAGAAGGATAGTCATATATTGTTGTTCTTCTCTTACTAATTCTTCCGTTTGCGATTACGGTTACGTTTCTATTTTGCTTAGGTCCATTCCACAATAGCTAAACGCAAAGTTAAAGCGCACGCAAAGATGACGCGCGCGTTGGTTTGATTGGTTAGAACCAACGCGCGCGTCATCTTTGCGTGCGCTTTAACTTTGCGTTTAGCTATTGTGGAATGGACCTTAGGCCTTCAGTCACGCAACGCAAACACTTAGGGTACGGTCACACCTCGGTAGAGAGCGAGACTACCTGTCTATCATAGTTGTTTTCGAGAGTTACTGTGATTATACTGTCAGTATGTTGTGATTGGCTAATCCATCAGCATGTTTATTCTGATTGGGTAATTTTTTACTGTCAGTATACAGTCAGCAACTCTCGAAAACACCTCATGTAATATAACGTATAAGAGTGAGAGAAATAAAAAATGTTATTATTTCTATCTCTCTTATACGTTATATTACATGATAAACAGGTAGCCTCGCTATCTACCTCGCCTACAAGGTGGCGCTTAGAAGCTTCCGTAATTGTGCGTTGGCCCTTACCTAATGTCCCCACCATTTGTTTTAAATTCCTTTATTTCGATCGCGTATGTTCTCAACCCTGAAAATCAGGTTAGGTATTGGCGTGGGTTCTTGAGACGCTCAAACACTGAAACACATGTCGTTCAAATTGGGAAGGCGACGCTTGCTTGGCGCAAGCATTTTATGTACTGATTTCTAAAAAATTGAGTGAAATAATCTAAAAAGTGAAAAAGAAAAAATTTCATCAACGGCTCAGCAGTTAAGTATTATTAAATCAAGATGCATTTAAGGAAGTTTATGCATCCTCGAAACAAGTACAAAGAAGAGCCTAATTTTAAAAAATTGGCTCTTTTGTATCCAGAATTTCGCAAGGTTGCAATAACGGTAAGTTTTAAGATTCATATATATTTTTCACTAAATTCCTGAGAGTATATTCAATGAAATGAACTCTGAAGAACTTTAGTGTATTTCATTTTCCTCTCATAAATGAATTATGTTATTATGTATATGAGAAACATGAATTTTTCAACTTTGATAGAAAATTGAAGGAAAAATTTGTGTTTAGAAACAAATATCTGTTCAAGAAGTTGTTTTTCATGTTTAAATAATGTTATTCACCAAATACTTACACTCAAATTCTCTGCTATTTTTCCGTTTAACGAAGTTGCAGTTTATTTATAGGTGCTTGCTTTTAGACGATCATATTATTTACCTACTTAGCATTTTCTTCTTTTCCACAAAATTTTTGTCTTATATCATTATTTCTTTTATTCTAACAGAAGTTTACTTCATTTTAAATATTAAAATAGTAATTCGATACTATTTCACACAAGTTTTATATTTTTTTAAAAAACCTAGTTCAATTTTTTAAGCTGCTTAACATTTTTTTGGCAAGACTCGAATTAATTGTTTAGTTTTTATATAAAAATCACATTTTATCCCTACTTTTAATTGGAGTGGTACAAAAATTTCACAAATAAACTCTACATAATATTTGAAAATGTGCACAACTAATTCTATATAGAAAAAAGTAAAAAATTAACTCGACGATTCAAACGTGTTTTGCATTTTTTAAAGAAATTCCATTGCTAAATAATATTTATTTATTTTATAAACCCTACTAAAAATAACATCAGAAATTTTGATACTACTCTAACGTTTTGTGATGCTGTTGATTAATTCTGACTAAAATGGTTATGTTCTTCACATTTTTTGAAACGTGACTATTTCTCACTACATTTTATAGAGATTCTTTTTTTTGTGAAAGATTTTTCAGGGCCTCTCCGATACTAACCATAGAAGTTACAGGCCTCAGATTATACGACTTTTTTCGACTTATTTTACTATGATGCGATTTTTCCGACATTTTTTTTACAAAATTTTTAAACAAAATACTTCTTTTTATTATACACTAGCAAAATTAAACGCGCGCAAGCGCGCCAAATTGAGTATTTAATTGTTTGTTATAAAGAAATTAAAGATTAATATTATCAATAATAATTTAATTTATTAGAATATTATTACATATTAAATGATAATAATGAAAATTATATGTTTACAGGCCTCGGATTATACGACTTTTTCCGACTTTTTTCAAAAATACGACTTTTATTAACTTATTTTCATAAAATGCGACATTTTTTTTTAAATGTAAATCAATTCAATTATTTAACAAATTTTGAACTAAAATGATTCTTCACTAAATTAATTATTTTTAATAATTTTAATGAAATACATCATAAATTCAATTATATCAAAATTATTTTTTCAATTAAAATTTTTATGAAATTTAACAATTGTTTATAATTTTAAAAAAAATATCACAATAAAATTGAATTATTTTTTAAAAATTTCAATTCAACATAAACTAAAATTCAATTATTATCCGAAATTTTAATTCAAAATCAATTAAAAATCCAATAATTATCCAAAATTTTCAATTTAAAATTTAATTTACCAAGTTTTCTATTTAAAATGAAATAAAATTCAATTATTTTCTAAAATTTCTATTCAAAATTAATTATCCAAATTTTTAATCAAAAATGAATTTAAATTAAATTATTATACAAAATTTCAATTAAAATTCAATTATTTCCCAAAATTTTCAATTCTAAATTAACTGAAATTCAATTATTTTCCAAAATTTAAAATCAAATTTAATTTCATTATTTTCGAAAATTTGAATACAAAATTAATTGAATTTTCAATAATTTAAATTTAAAAGCATCTAAAATTTAATTATTTCTAAAATTTTCCATCGAAAATTTCTTTTTTGAAATTTAATAATTTCAATTTTAACTCTAAGGAAATTCAATTATTTTTAACTATTTTAATAATGTTCTTTGAAATTTCAACTATCTGAAACCATATTTCAATTAAAAATGATTTTCAAATTATTGTATTTTGTCCGCATTTTCTAATAAATTTTTGGTGAAATCATCTAAAATTTTAATTACAAAACACTTAAGGTTTCAATTAATTTCAAAAATCTCAATTTTAAATCTTTGAAAATTCAATTAAATTTAAAAAATGTTTTCCAAAAATTGTTTGATAAATTATTTTTAGTTCTGTAAAATTTAATAATAGGGAGTTTGCATTAAAATTTTTTTTAATTTTAATCGATAGATTAGGTCTAATTTATATAACAAATTTTTTTTTAAATAATTTTTTAATCAAAAATAAGCATATAATTAAATAATAATAGTTTATATTATTTTAAAACATCGAAAACGGTCCGGAAAGAGCCGAGTCTTACCGAACAGAATGTGACGTATGTAGTGCCCAAATATTGCTGCTGTCATGAACTGTTTGTGAATAACCTAATGGAACGAAAGTTTTTTCTGGAAATTTTTATGAAATGGAGAAAATCAAGAGATATAAAACGTGTTTTGTGCCAAATTGTCTTAGTACAACAATTAAAACACCCGGAAAATTGTTTTTTACTGTGCCACAGAAAGAAGATATTAGGAGACAATGGTTTCAAGTTGCAAAACGAAATGATAATAATATGTTATCGATGAATTCAAATTTTTTTTTTTGTCAAGAACACTTCAATGTGAATATTTACATTGAAATAATTTAAAATTAAACTAGTTATAAATTATATTTTTAGACATGCAAAGTTAAAAAAACTTTCAAATGTCACTATATAATGTAAATAAAAGTAGTCAACATAACCTAAAAATAAAAAATTTTAAACCTCAAAATATTTTTATCACTTATTCATTGTAGTTGAAGGATGATATGGATAATTACAATAATAATACAATAATAATTACAATAATAAATAAACACAATAAATCACTTATTTTTACTTAAAAAAAATAAAATAATTTGAAAACAGCGAACGCATATATTAGTAAACACAGATCACACATGGATCATGTAGCAGACGATGCGACAGTAGACACTTATGACGTCACGTCCCAGCACCAATAAAAATCGTTTTCTTTCAGTATAAATAGTTTCAACTTTTAAATAAAAATTTTAATATGTAAAATTTAAAAAAAATTAAAACTTTCAACACTAATATATTTTAAAATACCTATATTTACGATTTTATAAAAAAAAAACGTAACATTTTTTTTATGCAAACTCCCTATTGTTTGAAAATTAACAATATCTTTTGAAATTTAATTATTTCTAAAAATTTCAACTTTAGCCCTTCAAAAAGGATTATTATTAAAAAAAAATTTTTATTTAAAAATCTGTAAAATATTTTTGTTAAAATAAAAAACAAATCCACTTTTTTTTTGAATATAAATCGACTGAAACGACTTTTTGTGTCTTTAAGTTGATTCGAGGCCTGTGTTTTTATAATTAATATTTAATAGATATTCGTTGGCCTCTGGTACCTTAAAAATTAAATTTTTTAAAATTACTATCTGGTACGAAATTTCCTGGCGCATCTTTTTTCTCATCATAAATTTTTTGTATTTGTATAGAATTTTTGAATGAATATACAACTTTAAAAAAAATTTCGTTGGTAAACGTTGTGTACTTCAGCTTCGTGAATTGAATTTTCGAATTTGGAATTTTAAAGAAACTTATTCCGAAATTTGGAAACACAATTATACAACTTTGGCAAAAATGAGAAAAAGAATTGTCAAAATTTGACACGTCATAAGATACCTATTCAAAAAAACACGTGAAATCAGAAAAGGCCAACTTCAAGTTAAGACAGAAGGACAGACCAAGCATTTTATTATTATATAATAATTACAGATATTCAGACATTTTTTATTTCAATTATTTACCAAATTTGTATCTAAAATTATTTATAAAAAAAAATTCTAAAATTATTCTTTTTCAATTTAATTATTTCTAAAAATTTGAACTGTAACTATTTCAAAAATCAATTATTATTTTTAAAAATTTTAATATTTCTTTAAAAATTCAATTATTTGCAATAAATAATTTTAAAAATTCAATTATTTAAAAAAGTTTCAACTTAATTATTTTCTGAATTTTTTTTTACCATTAAAACTAAAAACTATGAAAAATTTTTAATTTGTCCTTAATTAAAATTTGGAAAGTTTGTCTTAGTTCGGTTTTGAAATATTCGAAATAAATTTTCATAATAATATTCTTGTAGAATTATTCTTATTATACTCTTATATTTTGCGCTTGAAAGTCGATCCGAGGCCTGAACTTAATTATGTTAAGAAAGCTATAAAATTTGTAAAAAAAAATTTTCTTTATTTTTAATATTTATTGATGTGAAGATGAGATTTTTTGAAGATTCAACTGTTCAGGATTCTAGATATTCAAAACTTTCTATAAACAGTTAAACATTTTAAAAAATAATATTTTTTTTAGTTTGTACAAAAATTTAAAAATATTTGAAATTCTCAGGACAACAATTTTTTTATTTCTTTAAAACCGCTCATTTACATTTACCCACTACAATTTACCTTTTTTTAATATTCATTTCTTTTAAAAGAAGATTCCTTTCAAACATCCTGGAGGTTAAAAATAAAAAATTATTTAATTTCAAAATTTTTTTTTTTGAAAAATAATTATATTTGTAATTTTTAGATTTCAATGATTTCTACGATATAGAGTTTTATGTAAAAACGTTAAACATTTTATCTGGCAAAAATTAATATTTTTTTACGTTCTTGGACTCATTGCAATTTTATTTTTTTATACAATTTATATTATTTAAAATATATGTGCTCGTTTTTTCTTAGCGTATGCAAGCCGCGAAAGTTATGTGAAAAAAAGAAAAATTATGATTAATATTTAAATGAACTATCATGATTAAACCCCAAATTTCATTTGACATAAATCTTATTTGACATAAAATAATTTAACGTAGAATTAATTTGATATAAATCTTATATGACATAAAGTTCATTTGATATTAAATTAAAATGATATAA